GAGAACCAGATGGAGAAGGTGAAGGCGTTGGTGGCCACCTTGTAGAAGCCACATGAGAAGTGGCCATTGGGGGACACAAGGATGGTGGTGGTGTCATCTTGGGTGGAGATTGAGGAACCCCTTGCAAGGGAGCTTCTCTGATCTTCTGCAAGAGCAATGGTGAGCGCGAGAAGGAAGGAGATCGATGTGGTGAAAATGCTGACGCCTCTCATGGCCACGGCAAGCAACTGCTTTCCATGGAATGCAAGGGAAACTGGTACATATGTTATTATATGTATCAAGATTGTGCCCATTATTACTGTGACAACTTGTCGTAGATCGTGTACACTAATCCTGTTGCTACAGCCTAATATTCCCTTCGTCCCAAAATAAATTCATTTGTGGGTTTTTATGTCTAACGTTTGACCGTCCGTCTTATTTAAATTTTTTTTATGATTAGTATTTTTATTGTTATTAGATGATAAAACATGAATAATATTTTATACGTGTCTTATTTTTTAATATATATATATATATATTTCAAATAAAACAGTCAAACATTGAATAAAAAACCCATAAATGAACTTATTTTGGGTCAGAGGTAGTAGCATTTACTTGATGTACTAGCTTTTTTTTTTAATATTTGATGTACTAGCTTCAGAAAGGGACTGATAAACGGCCAAAACTATCATAGATAAATGCTTCAAAGTCCTGTATCTGTGTGAATGAATATAGCTGTTTTATTTGCACGCTCAGCAGCCTCAGCTCGATTCCCCGTCCAACTCAAAAAGTCAGAACCAATATCTCCATCATCATAAGGTCGGCCTTGCAAGTACTCCAGCAAGTTGGCTAGCAGAACGAAACAAGAAGCTTCCATGGCAATGTAGCAAAACCAGTACTTATCTGCTCTTAACCATCCTAGTTCTGAAGTTCATGCATCATTTCCCTCCCTCCCCACGTCTCTCCTCTCCCAGTCCCAGCCCAAGTTATCAAGATTCTCTCTCTCCCGTCTAGTCAGAGGGACATTGCCATTGACATATAAATTCATGGTATAAGTTCTACATGTTATTGATCACGTTATGTTGTACATTATCGTCGATGGAGCTGCTTCCGGGAAAGTGTTTTCATCCCTCGAATCCCTTGAGAGATGAAAATGCATCTCGAGCTGCTCCCCACTAATACGCCACCCTGATGACCACCGCAATAGATACAGTAGCGAACGCGACCCTGCAAGTTGCAGCAGCTGCTTCAATTGCTGCATCCCTGTGCGATGTGTGGCTAGCTAGCTTAGCTACATCATGCATGCACGTCCTCGATCAACCGGTCAAGTACGGCATTACCGAAGTTGTGAAAGCTGCAAGAAAGATAACCCTTGGCCCTTGGCCGACTTGGCGACTTCCAGTTAGATTCATCATATGTGAGGACAGTAACAAGCTGGTAGTCCTGTACTGTTCATGAATCTCGCTGTGGCCCGCTAGAAGAAGGGCTGTTTGGTTGGCAACTAAATTTATCGCATCTAACTTTAGGCAAACCACTTTTTAGTGGATAGTGTTTGGTTTCTGCCATAATTTTATTTTGTCTAACTCTTAATCACTTGGTACACATATCATACACTCTATTTTCTTATCTAACTTTGTCTAAGCTTAGTTTGTTATCTTGTTTACACAAAAGTATGATAAGACTAAGCTTAGTCACCTAATAAAAAATATGTGGCAACATTAGTCCTCAACCAAACAGGTCTTTAGGCAACATTAGTATCAAGTGCCAACATTGCTAAATGTTCTTTTTAATCCATAGGCAAGCTCTCCAACGGTACGATTTCTCCAAAAAAAAAAAATGTTACCATCAGCTATTTTGAGGAGAAAAAATAAATAATTTTTTCAACTTTCTATTGTTTAATTAATCCGTTTGTACCCAAAGTAATTATTGCGAAGTGAGCATGGCTCAACCGTTTAATTTTCTTGTGGTGAAACTAGCCCACCCGGATTCAAATTCTAGACTTACACGCGTATTCGCATTTACGGCTAATTATTCTTCAAGTGGCAGGCAACATACCCCACTCCTGACAGCAAGGCGTCTGCGGTAATTTCATCGACCCACTCTTTCGGATGAGGTCAGCCTCTACTAGTTCGTCCCCGCTCTCGCTTACTCATTGCTTATCATTTTTCAAATACAAAATAAGGCCCATTTTAAAAGAATTTCTTTTGTCCAAATACAAAATAGGCCCATTTCAAAAGAAAAAAATAGTAAGGCACGCGTAAATAAAGTTTTTACTGTTGTTTTACCTTCTTGGTCCTATTTAACACTGCCCCGAGCTACATTATAATACTCCCTCCGTTTCAAAATATAAACATTTTAGCTTTAGATTCATAGCCAAAAGTTGTTATATTTTGGGACGGAGGTAGTACTACTACATTGACAAGCAATGAATGATTCGTTAACCATTCGCTCTTATATTTCCAGGATATTTTAATACTGACAGAGTAGATATCATGATTATTTGTCTGCTTTTTTTTTCTGTTTTCCATAGTTCACACCGTTCTTAAAAATCCTTAAGCTCATCAAAGTAAGGCCCCGTTTGGCACAGCTCTAGCTCCCAACTCCAATTTATCTAGAGCTGGAGCTGTGCCAAACGGTACAAATTCTCTGTTTTTTGGAGCGGAGTTGGCAGAGCAGCTCCATAAATTTGTACTACGGGGATGGAGCTGGGTTTTTGCTGCTCCAGAGCTCCACTCCACCCTAAAAGACCCACTACCCTTTAAAATTTTGATGTATTTACACAGAAATGCCATTGAACTACCCCTAAACTCCTCCTCCCATCCTCTCTCTCCTCTCCCATCTTCTCCGGCAAGATTCGGCGGCAACCGACGGCGGGCGGGCTGGCGGCGGCGGCGCACGGGCTCGGCGGCGGCGTGCGGGCTAGCGGCGGCGCGCGGGCTCGGCGGCGCGAGGGCTGGCGGACGGCGCGAGGGCTGGCGGACGGCGCGCGGGCTGGCGGCGGCGCACGGGCTCGGCGGCGGCGCGGGGGCCGGCGGCGACGCGGGGGCTGGCCGGTTGGCGGCGGCGCGCGGCCTGGCGGCGGGGATTCCTTTTTTTAAAATTTTTTTTCTTTTTTTTTTCAGATCTGGAGCTAAAAGTTTGCCAAACACTTTTGATTGGTCTGTAACTCCAATAGGAGCTAGCTTCAACTGGAGTAGGAGTTTAGAGCTGAGAGTTGGAGTTTGGAGCCGTACCAAACGGGGCCTAAGCTTTGTATTCGGAAACAGAAGGAGCAAAAGCTTCTGCTGCAGTGGCCTTCAAACGCAAACGGGCCCGAAACCTTTCAGTTTAGCGGAAAATGGGCCGCTACGCAATCTAGAGCAAAACGCAGTGACACTTGGATCACCCTAAGGAAAAAAGTTCACTTTACGTCTCTCAAGTGTAGGTCTGAGTTTTACCTGCGTCCTTCCGTAAAATCGGGTGTAGTCCGTCCCTGAACTTCTAAAAGCTGTGTAAAAGAAAAAGTACATGTACTAGTAGTAATTTTTTTCTTATAAATTCTTACGAACACTAACACTAATATGTAATGCTGTAATTGCATCTTGAATATTTATAACGTCTATCTACCTAAATCAACCGTAATTATTAGTAAAAATTTATAAGAAAAAATAAGTATGTGTAGCAGTGCTTAGAAAAGGAATAAGTTCATCTGAGGTCCCTTAACTTGTTAATGAATCCGATTTTCGTCCCTCCAACAGAAAACCAGACACAACGAGTCCCTCAACTATCAAAACCGGCGCAGATTAGGTCCCTCGGCAGTTTTGAGGGTGGTTTTGGCTGACGTGGCGCCTACGTGGCTAATTTGACTCGGTCTTCGTCTAACGTGGCATTGACGTGGCGCTTACGTGGCAATTTGATCCGAAAAAATAATAAAACCTGTGGGACCCACATGTCAGTTTCACACATAAATTAATAAAAAAAAATGGTGGGGCCCACGTGGGCCCCACATGTCATCCTCGCCCCTTTTCTTCCTCCTCTCTCCCCATCTCCCCTCTCTCTCCTCACTGACCGGTGGAGCGGGGCGGCGGCGACCAGAGGCTGGTGGAGCGGGGCGACCGGACCGGAGCAGGGGGTCCGCTGGCGGAGCGGCGGCGGCCGGATCAGAGCAGGGCGGCCGCGGGCGGAGCGGAGCGGGGCTGGCGGAGCGGCGGCGGCCGCGGTGACTGGGCATCGGCGGTGCGCGGGAACACAAGGCAACGGCGGCGTGGAGGAGGGCGGTGCCGTTGGCGCGGCAAGGGGGTGCTGATGACGACGGGGGCGGCGGGAAAGGAGGAGGGCGTCGGCAGCGTGGGAGAGGGCGACGGGCGGTGCGGCAAGGGAGGAGTTGAGGGGCAGCGGGCGGCGGGAAAGCGGGAGAGGGCGACGGGCGGCAAGGGAGGAGCTGAGCGGCAGCGCGCGGCGGGAGGGAAGGTCAGGAGGAGGGCATCGGCGGTGGACGTCAGGAGAGAAGCTAGGCGGCGGTGGTGACCGCCGACGGGGAGAAGGTGCAGTTGCCCCGCTTCTTGCCGCCACCGCTCCGCCTGCCCTGCTCCGCTCCGACCGCGGCCCGCCGCCGCCCTGCTCCGGTCCGGCTACCCCGCTCCACCGGCCCACGCTCCGCCCGCGGACTTGCTCCGCTCCGACTGCCCTTGCTCCGCCGGCCACCCCGTCCATCGCCCGCTCTGGTCGCCGCCGCCCGCTCCACCGATCAGTGAGGAGAGAGAGGGGAGATGGGGAGAGAGGAGGAAGAAAAGGGGTGAGGATGACATGTGGGGCCCACGTGGGCCCCACCAATTTTTTTATTAATTTGTGTGTGAAACTGACATGTGGGTCCCACGGGTTTTATTATTTTTCGGATCGAATTACCACGTAAGCGCCACGTCAATACCACGTCAGACAAAGACCGAGTCAAATTAGCCACGTAGGCGCCACGTCAGCCAAAACCACCCTCAAAACCACCAAGGGACCTAATCTGAGCCGGTTTTGATAGTTGAGGGACCCATTGTGTCTGGTTTTCCATTCGAGGGACGAAAATCGGATTCGTTGACAAGTTAAGGGACCTTAGATGAACTTATTCCCTTAGAAAAAGGTAAAGCCCACATGTCAATGCTATAATTGCATGGGAGAGGGATAAACGGATGAGAAGTGCCACAATAATCCTCATCCAATATAATCTACTCCATTTATCCTAAAATATAAGATAATCTACTCTAATCGTCTCAAAATATAAGGTATTTTAAAGGAGTGTGGCACTTTACTAGGAATTGAGTAGTCCATATGAGCCAAAAACACGCTAGAGGATTGAACTTGAAACACCGAAAATCCCTAATAATCTAAAGACGCGTGCAGATTAGCGTTGATTTTAGACAGCTCAAACGGCGTGGCGCGCCGCGCCGCGGCGCCTAATCAATCAGGCCGACCCGGCGGCACGACGAGCCGCGCGGCGTCGAGGCGCGGGCTCAGCCGGAGCGCGACGCCCCTCATGTCCTCCATGCCGCGCTCGTACCCCTCCAGCGCGTGCGCCGCGAGCTCCCGCTTGTGCTCCTCGGACAGCACGTACTCCTGCACCGCCGCCGCCTTCGCCGCCGCGAGCCCGCGCTGCGCCTTCTCCTCGACCTCCTTCCGCATGGCGTCCGCCTCCGCGGCGGCGTCGCGCTCCCGCGCGCGCAGCCTCTCCTCCAGCTCCAGCGCGTAGTCCAGCGAGAACGTCGCGTAGTTCGCCGCCTGCGACATGAGAACGAGTGAACGCGGCGGCGGCGACGACGACGACGAGCATCGCATCAATGGCGGGATGTGGATAGCGAAACCTGGAGCAGCGTGACGTAGCTCGACGCGACGACGTCGGAGGGCTTCGCCGCCGGGAACTGGCGCTCCCGCGACGGCGTGACGATGCCCTGAAGCAGCTGCCGCGCGGCCTTCCAGTCGGCCGTGTCGCCGTCGTGCTTGTCGGGCACGTGCCCCGGCGTACGATCATGGTCGCTCGCCGTCGGTTTCTGCGCGGAGAACATAGGCTTCCGATCTTGGTCGCTCGCCGTCGGCTTCTGCGCGGAGAATCCCGGCGGCGGGGAAGACAGGCCGGAGGCCGAGCACGAGAAGCCATGGGGAGTAGGTGGCGTCCCGTCTTTCGCATTGGCCTCTGCTTCAAACTTCCTCTTCTTCACCGACGACGGCGAACACCGCGGCGTGTCGCTCTCCGGCTCGGTCTTCACCTTCTGCGCCGTCGCCGGTGCCTGCGCCGCGGCCGCCTTCTCCGCCCGCATGCTCATCATCATCTCAAAGACTGACGGGTCCATCCCTGCAGGAACACGACGGGAGTTATAAATTCGTTAATGTCGCCGGAGCCAGGAAGGTGTTCGACACTTTACCTTCGGCCCTAGTAGAACGAGAAGGCGGCGGCGGCTGCGGCGACGCGGCGGCGGCGGGGTTGGAGGAGAATGCGGCGGCGAGGTTGCTCTCGGTGAGATACGTCCTGAGATCAACCGCGGCGCGGTGCTTGTCCAGAAGCTTCGCCGCCCATTTCTCCTCCTCACCGGTGAGCACCGGATCGGCGATGGAGCTCTTGGACGGCGGCCCACCCCACCGCACCTGGCACGGCCACGGCGCCGACGACGACAAGAAGAAGAAACCTTCCTTCCAACCTTTGAGGTGTGTGGGCATCCCCGTGAAGAGCAACCCGACGGTGTCCTTGCCGCGGAAGTGGTACCAGCCGTTCGACTTGAACAAGCACAGCTTGAAGAAGTGCCGGAACACGGCGAGCGACGGCGGCACGCCGGCGTGGTGGGAGAGCACGAGGAAGCCGGCCATGATGCGCCACCCGTTGGGCGTGACCTCGCTCGGCGCGAGGCCGAAGTGCCGGAGCACGTCGCAGGCGAAGGGGTGCAGCGGAACGCGCATCCCGGCCTCCAGCGCGTCCTTGTACACGCACACGGCCCCCGGCGGCGGCGTCGAGCACGCGCGGAGGTCGCCGGCGGGGCGCGCGGCGAACCCCTTGGGGACGCCGTGCTTCTTGCAGAGCGCGTCGACGGCTTCCTGCGTGCGCAGTGACGAGGCGATGCGATCCGCGATGGACCTCGAGGGCGCGGGCGGTGAGTCGACGGCGGCGGCGGCGTCGTCGGCGGAGGGAGAGGAGAAAGCGTCGGCGTCGATGATCTCGACGGAAGACGAGGAGGAGGAAGAGGAGGAATGCATCGTCTTCTCTCGTGGTCAAAGCAGCAGAGGTACCAGCGGGACACAAGTTTACTCTTGTAGGAGTTGAACCAAGGCGACGGTTGGTTTTCCCATGATGGTTCTGCCCCCAAATCCAATTCCCCCCCTGCTCCCCCCCTCTCTCTCTCTCCGTCTCCTATTTTGACTACAAAAGATTTTAAGGCTGTGTTTGCTGGGGGAGGTTGGGAACGAATCTTCTTCGCACGGAAAACGGAGCGGTCCATTAACGCGTGATTAATTAGAAATTAGCTATTTTTTTTTAAAAAATGAATCAATATGATTTTTTAAAGCAATTTTTGTATAGAAACTTTTTGAAAAAAATACACCGTTTAGCAGTTTGAAAAGCGTACACGCGGAAAACGATGGAGAGGTGTTGGGAACCCTTGGGTCCAAACACAGGCTGTGTTCTTACCCTCAAGTGCCCAATTCATCTATCTTATTTTCCGCGTACATATTTTTCAAACTATTAAACGGTATGTTTTTTTAAAAAAAATCTATATGAAAACGGCTTAAAAAATCATATTAATACATTTATCAAAAAAAATAGCTAATATTTAATTAATCACACACTAATTGATTATTTTGTCCTCCGTGCACACTGTTCCGGGGAACATCCACATATCCTATCCTTCAGAGTACAATGAATAGATGATGTGTCACATTCACCCAAAATCTCTTTATATTAGAATTAAGGAAAATTTGAGAAACTATATACAAATTATTTCTAAAATAACTTATCTAGTACAATTAAAACTAGCAGATTTTTCACACGAGTTGAAGCCGCGATTCAGAGATGAGCTTTTATATGTAGTTGTGGCACAGGCGTTCGCAAACTGGGTACCATTCCTGAACTCCTCAATTCTATCGGATGGACTTACAAATTGAGGAGTTCATCCGATAAACACGGAAGATACTTTATCGTCGCTGTCACTTACAAATTACTTATCATTTTTTTTTCAAATGTAATGTTTGTGTAAAGACTATACTAAATTTTATACTGGTGTTCTGTGTTTATTTTAAAAATAATGGAATAAATTCCAACCTTTGATACTGGTGTTCTGTGTAGTACCTTAGTTATCCCTGCTTAACGTTGCTCTAAGCTGCATTTGTTATACACGTAAGAGCTACACTTAATTTTTGACTCAAAAAGCTACGTTGATAACCAATGCTTCGTTATCGTTAACCATTATTTCCTACATTTTCATCAGGATACTGAATTACAAATATCGCTATCATTTTTCTTCCTTTTTTTTTACCCCTTTCCTACCCTTCTTGATCCTTAAGCGCATAAAAGGAAGCTCGTTTTTTTTTTTTATTTCACATCTTTGTACAAAAGCTTCTGCTACCGTGGGCTTCAAATCCAAACAGGCCCAAATCTTCCATCTTAGCAGCACATGGGCCAGCCCGGTAGGCATTGGCATTTGGATCAGCCCAAATGACGTTGTCTTCCAGATCAACTGATCAACCAAACACCAACAGCGCTTGTGCCCCCAGATCGCCGGAGAGTTCAACGCCGCCGCGACCGGCGAGGCGGAGCTTGATGGGCGCCGTGTGGGGGTTCCATACCGCGCGGCTCCGGGAGGAGAGTCCCCTCACGCTGGTAAGAGGGGATTAGTGGATTGGATTACTCCACACTGACACCGAGGAAGGTGACGGGGTTATGATTGATTTTTTGGGGGCAATGTGGTGTGGTGTGCAGATGATGCTGGAGTGGAAGGATTCGAGATCGATGGGCGGGTGATGGCTTCGCGGAGCTCGTCGGCGGCGTAGTGGCGCACGATGAGGGGTCTGTGAGCAGCCGCGACGAACTGGTGATTTATTTCCTAACTATTCCCTGTAAATTTTATTTTATTTTATTTTCGGTTCATAGAGTTCTCGTGCTACTGAATATTTCGCTCTAGTGAATTGTTTAGCTTGTTGCTGCTCCACAAATCAAATAGCAGTAATACTGAAAAGAAATTAGATTTCCAGTGTGCACGATTTGGTAGTCTAAGAATGCATGCACTGAATAATGTAAAGGCATACATTATATATTGTGGAAATAGATGCGCCTTATGCATATAGAACAAAGTATCTAAACAAATAGACTAATGGTTATGGTGAATATTACAATTTGATGGAATACAACAACTACTAAAATCACATTTGACATTTTACCTTAAATCTGGCGCCCATTGACTTGTCTTTTCAACACCATACCTTATTATTTTTCTCACAACACACATATCAGCTTAGATAGAGTTGTAGCAATAGCAAGGACATTATTCCACAAGAGAAAGCAGGATTTCAACCACACTGCTCATGCTCGGTCTTCTGCGCCTATCTTCTTCCACACATGACACTGCAATTTTTAGCACTGTTGCTGCCTGTGAATAGTTGAATTCTCCATTCATCCTGCAGTCAACAAAGTCCAGCAGCCATGATTGATCTTCGCTAGCTAATTTCTCTTTTAGAACATCAGCGGTGCGCTTAACAGCCATTTCCACCTCCTCTTCACCATCAACCACCCATCTGGAAACCCGATTCCCTTTTACTAACTCAAGAAGCACTACTCCATAGCTGTAAACATCAGCCTTGCCTGTGATCGGAAGATTTAGAGCCCATTCTGGCGCAATGTACCCTCTAGTCCCATGCACTTTTGATTGGGTTTCTGTGTTTGATCCTCGACTAACTAGTTTCACCAGTCCAAAATCAGCAATCTTTGGCTCAAAATCTTTATCTAACAATATGTTCTCTGGTTTCACATCACAATGCACAATCCACTCAAGACATTCGTGGTGGAGATAGGCCAATCCTTTCGCTACCCCAAGTGCGATATTGTACCTTTGGCTCCACTGTAGCACAGGAAACAAACCCAGATTGTCAGATAATACTCTGTCTAGAGAACCATTCTCGGCAAACTCAGAAACCAAGAGTTTGTTTGTCTTTTCGGCACAAAACCCCCAAATTCTGACCAGATTCATATGATAAACTCTCCCTATGATACTTAGCTCTGACCTGAACTCCTGTTCTCCGTGGATCACATCATTTAGTTTCTTCACAGCGACCTTCCTTTTATCATCGAGGATTCCTTTGTAAACTGCTCCTGATCCTCCACTTCCTAGCATTTCTTGGAAACAATCTGTTGCCTTCTCCAACTCCTTGTAGTTGAACCTTCGGAATTGACTGGAAATTATGGTGTAACCTTCGTCTTGAATCTCTGGTCTTCTCCCCCATTTGTTAGCAGCCCAACATCCAACTGTAATTAAAGTCATTTCAACTACAAGTAATGTCAATGCTGAAGAAAGGAAGTAACCAAACTTGATATTGGAATTGTTACCCGTGAGCATTTGTGATGAGGGATAGGCTTCTTTTTCAGTCATCACGCAAGCATGCGATGGTTTGGAAGCCAACAATTGTGAATAGGGCGTCGCCTTGGGAAGTTTTAGATAGAAATCATTATAGTGGTCTTGGGACTTCCTGCCATTAAAAAGCAAGGCCTTCAAAAAACATTTCCCTATACCCTTGTGGTATTCAAAGGCTTGACAATCAGCATTGTCCAAGCACATCCTTTTGCACTGCCAGAGTGTCACTGGCTTGGAGTAGTTCAAGTCATAGCCATAGAAGTCGGTGTGGGGTATCTTCTTGAATATGAATCCGTGGTTAGACTTGCTGTTTGCGTTGTTGTTCCAAATGAGTGTGGCGTTTGCCTTGTAACTGCACCCTTGGCTCCAGTCACCTGGTTTAACCATCTCAAAGCCTTCGAGACAAGAACAGCGAGGGTCTGGTTTGTAAATGCACAAACTGTTTTTACCACACACTCCATGTATTTCACATACTTGACAGAATGCCATCCAAGTGACAGACCATTTTCCAGTGGTCATGTTTAGACTATACAACCTAAGGTTTCCATCATAATCCAGTGTCAACCTCCTCATGACATCCTTCTGACCATGATCAGATGCTTCAAAGTTGAGCTGGTCAGTAGCTATGAACCAACCATCAGAGTCTAGAACCCCATGTCGGCTACTGTAATAAGTGGTCCTACCATTGTCCCATGATAAGAAGGCAGGATTAGGCCAATATATGCTACTAGTCTCAGGGCCATTGTATATAAGACTCAGCAAATTGTTACTGTCAAAGAAAAAGGTGTATAAACCTGAATAGGGTAACCCCCTAGCGGATGCAGACACCAGCTTTGTATCTCGAGTCATCGGCTGCAATGGCAGAAGTGTGTCGGTTGGCGAGTCGAAGCTTTCCCAGAGGCACTGACCTTCTGAATCCATGACGATCAGGTTGCCACTGTTCTGAAGCTCTGCACGGCTAGCACCAGTGGCCGTGGTGTTGGTGCTCCATACAACCGTGCCGTTGTAATCAACAAGGGCCAAGCCCCCGTCCTTCCGGAAGGTGAGCTTGGAGCCCTTGCCGTTCACCGGAGCATCACGTTTGGCCGTCCACGCCACCGTCTTCTCCGACGATCTGGAGAACCAGATGGAGAAGGTGAAGGCGTTGGTGGCCACCTTGTAGAAGCCACAGGCGAAGTCGCCATTAGGCGACACTAGGATGGTCTTGGTATCATCCTCTGTGGAGACAGATGAACCTCTAGCAAGGTAGCTTTTCTTATCTTCTGCAAGAGCAGTGGTGAGCATGAGAAGGAAGGAGATTAATGTGGTGAAAATGTGTACGCCTCTCATGGCCATGGGCAAGGAATTGCCTGTGAATGTGATCATCTAATGCAAGGGAAACCAGTGTGCCGGAGTCTCTTGCATATAAATCAAGATTGTTGAGTAAAAAGAGCCAGTAATTACCGTGAAAACTTCAGGTGGCTCCCGTTTGCTTTACGTGTTTGCTTGAACTACAGCTTAGGAAAGGGACCAAACTGCAAATCTGGGCCTTATTAATTTGTCCCCTGGAGCACGGCGAATGCTGGCACCACAAAGCAATCGGGCCCTGTTTAGTTCTAGCGGTGAAAAGATTTAGCGTGTTAGATCGTATATACGGACACATATTTAAAGTATTAAACGTAGGCTAATAACAAAACAAATTACAAATTCCACCTATAAATTGCCAGAAAATTTATTAAGCGTAATTAATCCTTCATTAGCAAATGTTTACTGTAGGGCCACATTGTCAAATCATGAAGTAATTATGCTTAAAAGATTCAACTCACAATTTACACGCAATCTGTATAATTAGTTTTTTTTCTATATTTAATATTCCATGCATGTGTCCAAATATTCAATGTGATAGGGTGAAAAGTTTTTGCGTGGGAATGCTGGCACTACAAAACAATCAGACCCTGTTTAGGGTGTGTTTAGTTCACGACAAAATTGAAAGTTTGGTTGAAATTGGAACGATGTGACGGAAAAGTTGGAAGTTTATGTGTGTAGGAGAGTTTTGATGTGATGGAAAAGTTGGAAGTTTGAAGAAAAAGTTTGGAACTAAACAAGGGCTTAGGCCCCGTTTAGTTCGCGAAATAAAAATTTTTGGGTGTCACATCGGACGTTTGACCGGATGTCGGAAGGGTTTTTCGGACACGAATGAAAAAACTAATTTCATAACTCGTCTGTAAACCGCGAGACGTATCTTTTTAGCCTAATTAATCCGTCATTAGCATATGTGGTTTACTGTAGCACTTATGGCTAATCATGGACTAATTAGACTCAAAAGATTCGTCTCGCAAATTCCCCCTGACTGTGCAATTAGTTTTTGTTTTTATCTATATTTAATGCTTCATTCATGTGTCCAAAGATTCGATGTGATGTTTTTAGGAAAAACTTTTTGGAAACTAAACAGGGCCTTAGTTCTAGGGGTGAAAAGTTTTAGCGTGTCACATCGGATATACGGACACACATTTGAAGTATTAAACGTAGACTAATAATAAAACAGATTACAGATTCCTCCTGTAAAGTGTGAGACGAATTTATTAAGCCTAATTAATCCGTTATTAGCAAATGTTTACTGTAGCACAACATTATCAAATCATGTAGCAATTAGACTTAAAAGATTCGTCTCGCAAATTAGTTGTAATCTGTGCAGTTAGTTATTTTTTTAGCCTATATTTAATATTTTATGCAGGTGTTCGAACGTTCGATGTGATAGGGTGAAAAATTTTGAGGTGTGATCTAAACACGGACTTAGTCGTCAGTCGTGTTCTGAAGGGAACCGTATCCTCTGACGTTACACAGTAATGTCACGATGCGACATTCCTTCGATCCACACCATCCATTCTAAATCAATGGTCGTAGATTATTTGACATGCAATTAATCAAACTAATTAGTAGATTGTGTGGCTATAATTTTCCCTAGATCAGATATTGCATTTTCAAGAGGCAAACATCGTTGACCGGTGGAAGAATCGGCATATGATGATAATTATGTTTCACTTACTTGTTAGATGCAGCGATTTGCACATTATCCTGGAGGAAGTGAATCCTGTGCATCAATTTTGTGCTGCCATCCTCCGTCAAAACGGGGCAATTCTGAATCTACAAGCGGATGGGTTAATGTTTAATGAAGATGAAGAGACTGCTTTAGTGCTAACAAAACAAAATCCTTCCCACCTATTAAGTACATATACCTACATAATCTGCTAGTTAGTTTGATTAGTTAGATGCCAATTAGTATGTGGCCGTTGATTTAGAATGAATGGTGTGGATCGAAGGAATGTCACGCGGTGAACTTACTGTATAATGTCAGAGGATATGGTTCCGTTCTGAAGAACAGTGGGCTCGCTTTCCCTGACCACATCGTTGACGATTAGGAAGTCAACAAGGAAAGACCACCTTGTTCAGCACGGTGATACTACGTTTTGGTGTTAACCTGAACATAGCTAGGCAATACTAACACGTCCTTACTATGTTGCTAATGGTCATGGGTTAGTGGCTAGGACTTGAAGATGCTGAACCAATAATACATCAAAGTGATATCAAGACCTGGATCAACCGGTCAAGGACGGCACTACTGAAAGCAAGCCGCTACCGTGCAAAGATGATCCTGGTGGAGCTCCTCCTGTCGTCCTGTGATCCTGTCCATGCAGCTCACTCAGGCTTGTTCTTGTTTACTGCTAGATTTTGGCCCTCCAATTCTTTGGCACTTTTCACCGACGTTTTCTAGATATTTGAATTTGTGCCAAATTTTACCAACACCATGTATTAGGTAATAGCAACTTTACCATATAAAATTTGGTAATGCCTAAAGATGCCGAAACTTTTGAATTACCAAAATTATGGTAGAGAATCAAACCAAAATAGCCATCAGGCCGAGCCAAATCTTCTCATTTCGCAGCAAATGGTCCGGGAGACCCGGACAGTGTCGAGAAAGCAACACAGTATTAATCGCAGGAAAAAGTACGCCGAAGGTCCCTCAACTTGTCATCGAATCACAAAATCGTCCCCCAACCACAAAATCGGATACAACGCATCCCTCAACTTACAAAACCGTGCAAACTAGGTCCCTCAGTGGTTTTGACCCCGGTTTTGTCCCACGTGGCGGCTGAGTCAGCGTGGGACCCACGTGGGCCCCGCATGTCAGGTGGTGCGGCCGCGACGGTGGCTCCCGGGTGGCGGCGCGAGCTCGCCGGCCTCCTCGTCCCCCTCGTGCGGTCGGCGATGGAGGCGCGCGGCTGCGGCCATCATCACCGAGATCGACTCGACGCCTCTGCCATCAAGTCGCTGCCGTCGGTGATGACGGTGCGCAGCTGTGGCCAACGGGGGAGGCAGAGGAGGTACGCACGGATGCCCTCGCCCCCGTCGTCGCCGCCGCCAACACTAACCAACTGCTTGAGACGTCGCACACGTCATGGAGAAGAACACCGCCGCCAGCGGGCAATTGATGACCTCCTCCGCGGAGGCGACGCCGTCGTCGCCGAAGCGGCCGGCGGGGCGAACCAAGTTCCAGGAGACGAGGCACCTAGTGTTCCGTGGGGTGCGATGGCGTGGGTGCGCGGGGCGGTGGGTGTGCAAGGTGCGTGTCCCGGGCAGCCGCGGTGACCGTTTCTGGATAGGCACGTCTGACACCGCCGAGGAGACCGCGCGCACGCACGACGCCGCCATGCTCGCCTTGTGCGGGGCCTCCGCCAGCCTCAACTTCGCCGACTCTGCCTGGCTGCTCCACGTCCCGCGCGCCCCCGTCGTCTCCGGACTCCGGCCACCAGCTGCCCGATGTGCAACGCGCTGCCTGCAAGGCCATCGCCGAGTTCCAGCGCCGGGCCGGGGGAGCACCGCCACTGCCACTGCCACCTCCGGCGATGCTGCATCGACCGCTCCTCCGTCGGCACCCGTTCTGTCAGCCAAACAATGCGAATTCATCTTTCTTTCTTCACTAGATTGTTGGATGTTAATGTCAAAGCTTATCAGCAGTAGCAGAGCAAAAGGATCGTTGTGCCTGCGAAAAAATCCCATTTCATTTTGCATGGTTACAAATTCTTACACTGCTCTTTTGCTCGAATACATTATATTGCAGATGAATTCAATGATCGTTTTAATCCACGAATTATCAAAATATCAAGTCTTTCTGCTACTAACCATGATAACACACCACCTTTTTCAATGGAGGAGGTAGGCGCGGACGCCCTCGCCATCATCGTCGATGTCGCCACTGATGACGAGGTCCGCGCCGCTCACCAGCTCGCACGCCTCGTCGTCGTCCATGCTCGCCACCTCGGTCCAGCAGCTGAACCGCCTGGCGACGTCCTCTCACCTCAGTCCTCCCTCCCAGTGAGCGAACAATGAGGCCGAGCGGCGCAGAGTCGTTGGCGCCGCTGCTCCCCATCCGCAGCCGCGCTCGCCTGCTGCTGTCGCCGCCTCTCCGCCACCGCGCTCGCCCGCCGACGCCGCCTCGCCCCGCCGCCGTCCTCCCTTTCTCCCATGTCTCCGCCGCCGCGTCGCTGCTGCCACATCGCCGGCAGGCTGTCAAACCTCCCTGCTCCCACGTCGCCGCTGCGATGCAAGTGGAGACTGGAGAGGCCCCGGGGCATGGTGGAGGGGCACAGCGTTCTCCCCCTATCGGCTGGCTGTCGCACTCCCTCCTGCCGGCCGCGGCGGCCCTCCTACCCCGGCAGCCGTCGGTGCGGCACTCCTCCCCTGCCGGTTGTGCTCCTCGAGAGGAGAAAAGTGAGAGAGGAAAGGAAAGGAGGGAGAGGGGCTGCTGGGAGAGAGGGAGTGCTGATGTGGCATCCTGACATGTGGGACCCACGGTGACTCAGCAGCCACGTCGGACAAAACCTGGGTCAAAACCGCCAAGGGAACTAGTTTACCCTGGTTTTGTAGGTTGCGGGATGCGTTGTGTCCGGTTTTGTGGTTGGAGAACGATTTTGTAACTCGATGACAAGTTGAGGGACCGTCGGTGTACTTTTTCCTTAATCGCAGGCTCGCAGCAGCTAACACTTGATCCACTGGGCCGTCATGCCTGAATCGGCCCAAAGGAGGGAGCCAGCAGATGATCAGGTACAGCGCGGGACACGACAGCGTTGGTGTCGTGTGGTCATGGTCGCCTCCAAACTCCAAAGTCTCCAAGACTCCAACTGTCCAACACCTCATGCCTGCCGGTACAGTTTTACTCGTCAGCATCCCCCTTTTTTTTTTTTTGAAACTGTCAGCATCCTCTCTCCGGATACTCCGCCACCTGTGTGTATCTTTTTTCCCTTGGAGAAACCGTTTTGCTGATACCAGCAACTGCCCGGCCATACAATAATAATATCATGTCCAGATACTCCTATACAATTACAAAATAGCTTGAGAATGAATAGTTCTGCTATCAATTATTCAAAAATAGAGGGTGTAATAAACATAGAGTTGTATTTATCTTGGACTCTCAGGCTCTCAGCTTACCATTTTATATATTAGTTTAATTTGAAATACTCTGAAATATTAAAATACGCAATGTACCGGGCGGACGACTGGTATTATTACTGATCTTGCTCAAAATGGTCATCGTAATTTCAGAACGAACTGATCGTTCAAACGTTCCTCATGTTGCGCGTGTGCTGCAACTACTGCACGGTAAAAGTGATAGGAATCGGTCGGAAACAGTATTAATGTTTTTATTATTTTTACAAAAACGAATTGAAATAATTGGAAATTTTCATATTTATATATTAAACTATTCAGTATCAACTTCAATTCGACGTCAATAGAAATTAGAAAAGCATAATTATACACAGTAATAGGCGTTCAAGATATTATTGTTATTATTTAGTTTTGTGGAAATGGTATCAACGTGATCGGAAAATTTTGTACATGTTTTCACCCTGCGGGATATCTCAATTCCTTCTCCTCCCTCTACCGCCATATCAGCACACGTTTTAGAGCACCAATCATAACCCATAAATCCGTGGGCTACTCACTTATTTAATTTATATGTGAATTCGTGACCTGACTCACTCACATACTATCAAAAATTTGTCTCAGTCACCCATCTCCTTCTTTCCTGGTCCGATAAGGGTTTATCCTACGGTTCGACGGTTATCACGATAGTCGTGCGGTTACTGAGGTATACCGTGATTTAAAAATATGATAAAGTTACCGCAGGTTTTAACTGCGCGGTTTGGTAAACCTGTTCCTCCTCACCAACCTTCTCCTCCGGTCTCCTTATGTGTCTCACCGAGGCGAGCCGCCGCGAGACCGCATGGACGCGGTCCACGCACCTGGCGGTGCACCTCCTCCTCCCCGGCGAAGAAGACGTGGAGGAGAGTAAATGAGCAATCAGGCCCACGGCCCAATCGCCGTCCACCACCCACCACCCTCAGCGACCCAAAACCACCTCACCAACCCAACTCTGTACCGTACTGTACCCGCCCTCCCCTCCCACTGACACTCCGGGCCCACCTGTCGGCGCGACTCTTCCACGGTCCCCTTCTCTCCTCAGAGATTTTTTCCACGCATTTTTTAATTTTTTTTTCTGCAGTTCACATGCTCTTCTCCCACTCTTCCGCCGCGCTATATAAACCGCGCGAGGCGTCGTTGCCTCGTCGGCGAAGTCAATCCGGCGATCCCCGGCGAGCGAGAGATCGAAGCAAGCTGCTACACAGATCTCACGACATGGCCGAGGCGGCGTCGGCGGCGGCGGCGGCGACGACGGAGCAGGCGAATGGGAGCAGCGGCGGCGAGCAGAAGACGCGGCACTCGGAGGTCGGCCACAAGAGCCTCCTCAAGAGCGACGATCTCTACCAGGTAACCCGCCGTCTCCGGCCATCCCCTCCTCGCCGGAAAACCTCCGCCGCCGTGGCTGACCTTGCCTGACTGGCTGACTCGGTGCTTCGTTTCCGCAGTACATCCTGGAGACGAGCGTGTACCCGCGCGAGCACGAGTGCATGAAGGAGCTCCGCGAGGTCACCGCCAACCACCCATGGTACGCCACGAATCCCCTCCTCCTCCTCTTGGGCCCCGAATCGGAGCTCGGCGACATCGATTTGATTCGATTGGGAGGGATCGATGTTGTTCTTGCAGGAACCTGATGACGACGTCGGCGGACGAGGGGCAATTCCTGAACCTGCTGCTGAAGCTCATCGGCGCCAAGAAGACCATGGAGATCGGCGTCTACACCGGCTACTCCCTCCTCGCCACCGCCCTCGCCATCCCCGACGACGGCACGGTCAGCAACACGCAAATCCCCCATCTCTTCCATCGCAGATCTGGCAAGAAATCCCCAATCGATTGACGTCCATCCCTCTGCTAACTAATGCAGATCTTGGCGATGGACATCAACCGGGAGAACTACGAGCTGGGGCTCCCGTCGATCGAGAAGGCGGGAGTGGCGCACAAGATCGACTTCCGGGAGGGACCCGCGCTGCCGGTGCTGGACCAGCTGGTGGAGGAGGAGGGCAACCATGGGTCGTTCGACTTCGTGTTCGTCGACGCCGACAAGGACAACTACCTCAACTACCACGAGCGGCTGATGAAGCTGGTCAAGGTCGGCGGCCTCGTCGGCTACGACAACACGCTCTGGAACGGCTCCGTCGTGCTCCCCGCCGACGCCCCCATGCGCAAGTACATCCGCTACTACCGCGACTTCGTGCTCGAGCTCAACAAGGCCCTCGCCGCCGACCACCGCGTCGAGATCTGCCAGCTCCCCGTCGGCGACGGCATCACCCTCTGCCGCCGCGTCAAGTGAGCCCGCCGCCGCCGCGAGTGCGACTCCGGCCGATGCCCAAGAACTAGTCATTTTAAATTTATAAATTATAACTAAATTGTATAATTTTTGCCTTTTTTTTTTAATTTGCAAGCTACTGGAAAATGTTATTTAATATATGTATAAATGTCGAGACAATAATATTATTGCATTATAAATTGACCTGGTTTTTGTTAGCTTTCGTTGCGCGTGAGAATGGTGAGTGTGTGCTGCTGATGAAACTCGAATGTTCACTTTTGTTGTCTTGTCCAGCTTTGCTAAACTTTGGCAGCATTAGCAAAGCTGTTTTGTTCTGTTTCTGAATTGTTCTTGGATTGAAATCTCTAATATTGACTTGATAATTAAATTTGACCGGTTTTTGGCAGTAAATTCCTTCAGTATTGGCAGCTCAAACTGAATTCTTCTACTAATAGTTTAGTGCTTGTGGAGAGTGTAGTCGTGTAGAGTGGACTGGACTAATTCAGATCTTTACTTGGTTAGCTGAAGATGGCATCCGTTATCTGAATTCTTCAGTAGTTGGTGGATAATGACAACTCGATGTAGAGAGATAATTTGCTGCATGTTAGTTTGGAAGTAGCTTCAAAGGATTTAATTCTCAGCGTCCGAAGTCTTAAGTACAGTTGGTTTGGAGAGCTGTTCCTGTGAAGACTTTTATGATTTGTGCTAGTTATGGCATCACATGATCACTTCAATTATCACTTATCGATCTAGTGAGACCAACCATACATACCATACAAAGGTAAAAAGTGTTCAAACTGGATTGAACAAGTTCTGTCTCCATATAGATCCTACTAAAATGCATACATGTTGTAGCAATCCCATTTCATCCAAACCAAACAAAATCTCTTTCATTCGGCTCTAACCAATCAAACAGAGCCATTTGTATCCCCCGAACCAAACCAGCCGAGCATGGATGAGGGATCGAGGGCATCCGAGCAACCAAACAGGCCCAAAGTGAATGCTTTGGTCGATTTTCGATTTGTTCCCTACGAATCCAATTTTAGTCCTTCAGCCAGAAAACCAGATACAATTGATCCCTCAACTATCAAAACAAGTGCAGATGAGCTCCCTCGACAGTTTGGACGGCGGTTTTGGTTGACGTGGCGCCTACGTGGCTAATTTGACTATGTTTCATCTGATGTGACAGTGACATGGTGCTTATGTGGTAGTTCGATCCAAAAATAATAATAAATCTCATAGGACCCACATGTCAGTTTCACACACAAGATAATAAAAAATCGTGGGACCCATGCGGCCCCACATATCATCCTCACTACTCCCCTCTTCTCTCTGTCCTCTCTTTCCCCTCTTATCTCTATCATCTCTCTCTCGGTTGGGAAAGCAACGGTACACGGGCATCGGCCGGTGGGATGATAGGAGTGGCGCGAGGGCGCCGGCCGGCGAGAGGAGAGGAGCCGCGGACGGAGGCTGGGAGGAGGAAAGGTCGGCGAGATATAGGAGGATAATGAGAGGGAGAAACGGTCACTACCCGTGGCTCCTCCTCCCACCGACCGGAGCCCGCGCGCCGCTCCTTTCCCGCCGGTCGCCGCTCATGTCTCCTCTCCCGCTCGGCTCCACCACTCCTCTCCCGCCCCGGCGAGGTCAACGGCTACGACGACATTCTTCTCATCCACCCGCGCCGCTCCACCCCTCTACTCCGCCGGGACATCGGGGAAGTGGATCTAGAGGCAGAAGGGGTTGCGGCGGTCGACTTCTCGCTCCGCTTCCTCTCCTGCCGCCGACGAAGACGACGACGACAATGGCGACGGGTTCGAGGAGGCGGAGGACGCGCACCTCATCATCGCAGCCGCCGCCCCCGTTTTCGTTGTCCTCCGCGACGCCCTCCAATGTTGACAGCATCATCGCCATGGGCGGCAACGCCACCGCCGCCGAGGATGATGACGATGGCGACGGGTTCGAGGAGCAGGAGGAGGAGAACACACAGCTCCGCTATGGTTTGTCGCCGGGCGGCCATCACTGTGGTTTGTTGCTGGCCCGCTCCGCCCCGCCGGCTTCGTGCGCCGCCACTCTGCCCACACCACCCCGCCGGCTTCGCATGAGAGAGAGAGAGGGGGATAGGATACAGAGAAAAGAAGAGAGTGGATGAGGGAATAAAATTTGAATATATACCTTTGTTTTTAACCTTTTGCGTTTATATACATGCATAGGAAAAAATTGTGAAAATATACCTCTGCCACAGAGTGGAGATGCGGGACTGAGATGGTGCCACTCGCTCCCGCAGAACGGCCGCGTGGCACCGTCGCTCCCGCGGAATGGCCGCGCGGAACCGTCGCTGCCGTGCTCGCTCCCGCGCGCGACGCGCGACGTCACGGTCCCGCGCGGCGGGTGCGCGCGACCGGCGTGGCATGCATGCACCGCTGTGCCTGCATGCATGCGTGCGCTTGCGTGGCCGTGTTCCGCGTCGGTCCCGCACAGCTATTCTGCGCGATCGTCGGTTCCGCAGAATGGTGGTGCGGGACCGTCGTGGTAGAGGTATATTTGTGTGAAATTTTATAGCATATGTATATAAACGCAAAATAAAGATAAAAACGGTATATTTTCAATTTTTTTTCTACTAGACGGTAGCCACGGTCCCGCACAACCAGTGTGCGCGACCGCTACGGTTCCGCAGAACCAGCGCGCGCGACCGCCACGGTTCCGCAGAACCTGCGCGCGCGACCGCCCCCTGTTCTGGGACTGCAACGGTGCCGCACACCCAACGTGCGGGACCGAGTTTCCCCCGGCCAGTCCCGCAGTCCACCGCGGTGCCGCACGGCCGGTCCCGCAATCCGCCGGTGGCGCACGCCCGGTCCCGCAATCCACCCCGGTGCCGCACGGCAGTTATGCGCGTGCGCCTCGGTACCGCACGCCCAATGTGCGGTACCGTCGCGGTACCGCTTCTCCAGCGTGCGCCACCGCTCCGGGATCGGTCCCGCGCCGCCAATCCGCGGTTGCGCTTCGCTCCCGCTGCCCCGCCCTGCGGCTTAGGTATAATTTCGCAATTAGTTGCCATGCATGTATATAAACGCGAATTAGGGAAAAAAGAAGTATATTTTCAAATTTTTTTCCTGGATGAGGTGGAGGGTATGGGTCCTACTATTTTTTATCTTTTATCTAACTGACATGCAGGCTCACATATTTTTGTTTTATTTTTAAAATTGTTAAATTTTGCTTCATGTGCCATGTCGGATGAAGACCGGGTCAAATTAGCTACGTAGGCAAAAAGAAAACCGCCGAGGTATCTCATCTGCACTTGTTTTGACAGTTGAGGGACCCATTGTATCTGTTTTTTTGGTTGAAGGATGGAATCGGATTCGTTGACAAGTTAAGGGACCTCAGATGAACTTATTCCATCAAGAATTCTCAAGCTTTAAATATCTCCCAGTATTAGGTGATAAGGATTTTTGTTGGGCCTAGCCTTCACTGTCCTGCTAGGTGAAACGGGATCGATTTGGGCTAGAAAAGGACAGATACCATGGTGCACTTTTGTTATCCATTCTGGCCTAGTGGCCTACATCGAAATGATTAGGCTTATTCTGCTTCAAATCAGACGATCACTTAATTCTCTGTTTTAGACTTAACCTTATGGAAGTGTAAGTTCATCAGATTAACCATCTTGAAAAGAAATTGTGTCCATCATAGTGTCATACTGACAAAAAGTGGCATCTTATAGGACAGTTCGATCGAAGCAACTACTAACAGAGTTTGGGTTGGGTTCGTGTCATTGTCTCCCTCACATGTTTTTCTCAACGCTTAGTTGGTGAGATGTTTACATCTGGATGCGTTATCCTGATGGATACACTCACAGAGAAATGATTTTTCTTTTAAAAAATATCAGATATGCAAAGAATTCTCGTTCAATTTCCGTATAGAAATAATAATGAATCCATAAATCTGTATAGTATACATTTATTCTGTATTTCTGTATGCGCACTAATGTACAAGCCAAAATATACACAACACAACACATCAGCACAACGCAAGGGTCATGTAAAATAAAACAATAAATCAACACAACACAAAGAATCAAGACACAGCACGAGTCCCTTTCATGAATCTTATTCGATTCAAAAGTGAATCATTCACGAATCTTTCTTTCTTTTTCCCATTTACTTTATGAAATGGATGGTATTTTTCATCAGGTCTTTCATGAGACCTGGACGTTGGCATTGAGGATCTGAGGGATGGACCTGATCTGCAGCGCCGGTCTGATGGCGAGAAGTCCGGCGAAGCTCTCCGGCGGCACCCTCATCCCGCCGACGTTGATGCACTCCAGCCTCCGGCAGCCGCCGACGAGCGCCACCAGGCCGGCCTCCGTCACGTGGCGGCAGCTCCACACTATGATGCTCTGCATCGCCGGTCAATCGCAATCCACACAAAAAAAAAAACACGAATATTAGGAAATAACCTAATATCAAATAATTAGAAAGGGTGAGACTTCGAATCCAGGTCGTCTAGCCCACCACCTTATGGAGCTAGCCGGAAGACTTTTGGGCGTTTCTCGCAACCTAGGACTTTTTTTTTCCACACCAAAACAAAGTCAAGCAAAAAACACCGTGCAAATGTGACTAGAGAATTGATATGTACTTTGTCAGTGTTTTTATTAATTCGTACTTAATCTGTAGTTCGACACTTCAAGTAATCTAAGCGTGTGGATTAGTATCACCATGCTGTGTTTCAACGCTAGCTCTTGATGACGATAAATCTATAGTTATATTTCAATTGTCGTAAGTAAATTTTGCTGGCTATGTAAGTGTGATAGTGATGGCATAGTTCTAGGTAATTTTATCTGATACTATGTGAAGAACATCTAGAAGACTTTTTTATTTTTTAAAAAAAAGAAAGAAAGAAAGAAAGAAAATAAGATGCCACAGATGAGCACAAATGATCACATACTAGAAGGCTTTAGTTGCCTAGGATTCTATGACCATCTTAAGATGATCACGCTCAAAGATGTTACTTCTTTCCTGAACATATCCTCATCTCCTACTGATACCAGAACCGATGAGAAGCTTTTCTCTTTTTTTTTTGAAACGCGAACTGATGAGCAACTTCAAGACAGGAACAGGCATAATTCTGAAGCAATTGATCACTGATCAGTATTGAAGTCTTTATCATAGAGGTTGAGATTATATAGTAGTACATGGCCCAGGTATGGTGCAAGAAAGAACAAGATCATCAAGATGATATATTGATATAGGTTCCTATCCCCCAATTAAGCATGGCACAGCTCCCCCATCATTTTTTCCAAAAGAACTACAGTACCCTTTTAATTCTAAAGGCAGGGGTGTTTTTAAGCAGAAATAATAGCAGGATCGCAGCCACTAAGATAATAGCAGAAATAATAGCAATAACTGCATACATATCCTGACCACACGAACCTGAGAATAAACCTCAACCAGTAACATCATTTGTCTACTTCAATTCAAAGAACAAGCCATGGCGAATCTGCCAAGGTTGTCAGTTCAACCATCATTCTTTTCCCCATGAAATGACTCATTTCAAAGTATCAACTACTGTAAACACATCGTACATACTGTAGACAGAATATTTGTTGACTTCTAGGATCTTTTTTATGTGGTACCTTGTCATGTTTAATTTGCAGACACGAAAGTGTTTCCAGATTAAGAAACATACCTTCAGATTTATACAACTTTTTGCAACTGCATACAACGATTCATCTGTGATAAATGTTCCACCAATGTTCAGGTGCTGCAAAGAATGCGCTCTTGAAACCTACAGGGAAGGTTGACAAAAGCACAGTATTTATTACGACACATCAAAGATGTCCTTCGGTAGTGCAGGGTAAATTATGAACCAACTGATTATTGTTGCAATTTTCGGATATGAACAGTGGATTATTATTCTGAATGAAAACAACACGTTAACAATGCATCATGAGTTCATGACAACATCCTGCAACACTATAAATTCCTATCCAAATCCTTATTGGCTTCTTATACACTATGATAGCAATAGCCAATAATCAATAATCAATTGACATACCATTGAGTATGCCCTTGAAACATCTAAGACGGTTTTATTACCGAAACAATGACACAAACATAGCACAATCATGAGCCAAGTTGCCAAGTCTCCCAACACAAAACAGCAAATTTTTTGCCTGTTTTCTCCATGTTTCCAAGTAAGACGGCTTAAAAGTTCAATCAGAGACAGGGCACACCTGCCTGGTCAATCAGAAAATTCCCAATCCTTAATTGCAAGATGAACATAACTTAAAAACTACTAATCTTTTAGACGGGGATTTGAAAGAAATGATTACCAGCTGGATGACGCCATTATCGGTGATCCCAGCCAATCCCCAGAGAGAGATGGAGGTGAGGTTCTTGACGCAATCGGCGGTGGAAATCCTGATCAATCCTTGATCAGTGATCTGGCAGCCCCAGCAGCTTCGTGAACTCCAAGAACGGGGAAACAAAGTTAGGCAAAAAAAAAAAAAAGGTCACAATCTGGCAGCAGCAGCAGCAGCAGCAACAAGAAGTTTTAGCTTGATCGATTGATCATTCGAGGGTTGTGGCTGAATAAGGGGGAATCAATCGGCTACTACTCACATGTCGAGGTCTCGGAGGTTGACGGCGGCGCGGACGAAGCGCGCGGTGGAGTCGTCGCCGGTGCGCTGCCCCGCGAAGCTCATCCGCCGCCGCCCCGCCAGCGACCTCTCCACCGCCCTGCGCCACCGCCGGCTCACTCCCCCCGCCCTGCAGCCGAGCAAACAACACAAGCAGGTCACGCCACGCCACGGCGTCGCGCGTCGATCACCACGAGCAGAGCAAGAGCGCGTACATGGAGAGGTCGTGGAAGGATGGGAGGAGGGAGAGCACGTGCGCGAGGAGGTCGGCCGGCAGCCGCTCGACGTGCGGCTCGGGCTCCTCCGCCGCCGCCGGTGGCGCGACGCCGATGACGACCCCACCAGCCATGGCTCGCTTCGGCTCGGTTGCTTCTCCTCGCGCTCGCCGTGGAGGCGAGAAAGGCGGGGGGCGGCTTTGCTTATACTTTCTCCATGGTCGAGGTCGCCATGGCTCACGTGAGCTTGACGCGACGCGACGCGCGCCCATCGCTTGGAATTTTGCTGCGCGCTGCGGCCGAGGTCGCATGACCATGTGGACATCCTCGCGCCATCGAGACGCCCACCGAATACGCCTCTTGCCAAAATTTTCAAAAAAAAAAAAAGTTCACACAAATTTGTTCAAATTTTGTTAGGATTTGTAGTGAAACTGCCTTAGTTATTGGTAAAATCTGCTATAAGACATCCAAAGTTTACGGTTTTTGCCGCTGAAGGATATCGACATATCGTCTGCCTCCATTGGTTAATGATCAGAGTTAATCCACAACCATCCACTAATGTTGCGGGTGTCCAGCGATCAATTGCCCCTTTTTAGCCCCTCCAAAGAAAACATCCTTACGGTGTTCTCTACCAAAAAGCACACAAATTGCGTGTATCCTATAGAAATTTTTTGCCTAATTCATACGTAAAAGGAGGCCTTGACTTTGAAATTGGTAGGGGAGCAAGGCCGATCTGGGCTGGGTTCCATTGGGCCGAATGCATCGAGGACCCACCTGTCAGACGGGTCCATGTAAGAGTCTCCAAGACCAGGTGCACGCAGCCACGCAGCGGAGCACCACCAGATCTCCCTTGGACCGGTTCCATCGTCTCCGCCGTGGACCAGCGCCAACCCTCGCCACCGCACGTCGCCGGGCTCCGGCGAGGCCGCCGGAGTGTCGTCGGGAAGCGGAGGGCCTCCTCCGTGCCGCGCCTCCCTCCGCCCCTCACCCCTTCCTCCTCATGGCTAGGTCCTGACCTGAGGTGGGGCTCCGCGGCTACTGCTCCCCGCCTCGCCCCGCCCCCGCCCCCGCCCCCTGCCTCTCCGCCGCGGCGCCACTCCGGGCTCCGGCACCTCCCTCTCCGTGCGCTCCTGCGGGGTAAGCCGGTGAGGGACGCTTAGTGGAATTGCTAGTGCTCTTACTCTTGCGTTAGTTAGAGGTAGAGCTGCTTGGAGTGAGGAATTGATGTTGCTTTTTTTTTTGGGAAGAAAAAAAAATCTACTCTGAACTTCTGAAGCAAGTAGGATTGCTTGATGTTGTAGATGAAACCAGTGCTAAGGAATGTGGTCCTTTTGTTTGTTCTGTATTGTATCCCAGTTTCACGATGTTGTTTAGATTCCAGCATTTGCATACTCCATAGCTTTGTTACCAGTCTGATTATGAGTGAAACCATGGAGCTTTCCGTAGTATATATGAAAATTTTCCTTTCTTTTCTCAGCCAGGAATGCCAATATAATTGATAGTCAACATCCTAGGATATGAGACATGTTGCATGGGGCTTCAGTTTAGTGGATGAGTGATCACTCTAACAACTAGTACGGTAGTACCAACTAGTACTGCCAGCATAATTGACCACGTTGCATTTGACATCTTATATAAAGTAGGGGATTTTATTACGACGCATATGCTGTAGATTTCTCCTTTCTATCGATTTTGTGTTTATTTTTGTACCACCTGTGGATTTTAAGTGGAACAATTCTCTCCTTTTGTTGCAGAAGTTGTGTGGAGCTATCTCTGATGCTGTTTATGCAAAGACTTATGCTCACTTCTTGATTAGAAATGGACAGTAGCCGAGATTCTGAAGAAGAAAGGCCTCAAAGGAAGGACAATGGCGAAGAAACTGAAAATGGGGAAGATGGTGGAAATGCTTTGAGCCTCAAGGATGTTGCCAATGAGCTTCTTGGTTGTGTTGTCCATAGTGAGGAAGAGGCATACAAACTGTATTGTGACTATGGACATAGAATTGGTTTTAGTGTCCGCAAGGGTAAACAGTCTTACTTCATTGGCACGAAGAATATTCGTACAAAAGATTACTACTGCTCAAAAGAAGGGCTTAAGTACGATGAGCCAGTTACAGAAGCAAATTTTAATCGACCAGACACAAGAACTAATTGCAAAGCAATGATCCGCTTTAGAGTTGATGAGAAAGGACGCTGGACAGTCATACGCTTTGTCCCAACGCATAATCACCAGTTGGCTAAACCTGGGGAAAGACACATGTTGAGATCTGCGAAGTCGCTTGCTGTTGGAAAATCAGGTGTCATAGATCCACAAGCATCTACGGAATCACATCCAATAAATGGTTTCTCTCATATGATAGGAAGTGATATTGTGGAGCCTCCTGGGTATACTATAAGGGATTGCTACAATCATGTGAGCATGCAGGGTATAACGATAATCGAGGCAGGAGACAGCCAAAGTCTTGTGAACTATTTCAAGCGTAGAACCAATGAGGAAGGTATGTTCTATTGGGATGTTCAAGTTGATCAAGAAGGTCGTATGACCAACTTTTTCTTCAGGGATGCCAAAAGTAGAAATGATTTTGACTGCTTTGGAGATGCTGTTATATTTGACACAACCTTCCGCACAAATAAATACAGCCTGGTATGTGCTCCTTTTGTTGGAGTTAACCACCATTGGCAGAATATTGTTTTTGGATGTGCATTCTTGTTAGATGAGTCCTCAGCTTCCTATGTTTGGTTATTTAAATCATTCCTCGAGTCAATGGGTGGCCGGTCTCCAAAATCAATTTTCACTGATCAGGATGACGCTATTACGCAGGCAGTTGAGCTGGTTTTTCCTAACACGCAGCACTGTTTTTCCTATTGGCATATTCTGAAAAATGCACAGTCTCATTTAGGCACGGTAAATACCTCTCAAACATTTCAAAATATGTTTATTAAGTGCATGCAAGGACCTAACTCAGAAACGGAGCTTGAGGAATCATGGGCCACAATGTTAAATGAATATAAGTTACAGGAGAATAGCTGGCTTAGCGACCTTTATAGGTCCCGCAATAAATGGTGCTCAGCATTTAATAAAGATACTTTCGATGGTGGGATCAATTCATCTCAGTGGGGGGAGGTCTCAAACAATACATTTACTGGAATATCTGATGAATCTACCCCTCTTACACGATTTGCCCTTTTACTAGAAAAGGTTTTCAAGGGTCTACGTAGAAATGAATCTGAAGAGGATTTTCGCTGTAGCCAAACTGCTCCAGTTCGTGCAATTAAACACAGTACAGTTCTGAAGCAGGCCGCAGAATCCTACACGCATAAGATATACAAATTATTTGAGGCAGAATTTCTGGATGGGTGCGGAGCAACTTCATGCCATGAAAGTTCTTGTGGTGGGAACTTGTTGAGGTTTGAAATTACTATGCAGGGGAGGGGATCAAAAGTGTGGACCGTTCTTCTTGATACCTCCACGATGGAAATCTCTTGTGGTTGCAGAAAGTTTGAAAGGATGGGTCTTCTTTGTTCACATGCTCTGAAAGCCTTCAGCCTGCAAAATGTGGACACAATTCCTGAGAAGTACATTTCGAAACGATGGACAAAAGATGCCAGGAGAAGCATGTATAAGCTTAGTCAAGATGATTCAACACAACAGGAATGCACTGAGGCTGAACTTGCATATCGCAACCGGGCAACGCAGTATGCATGTAGCCTTATAGCGAAGAGCCAGGAACTGGATGAATCAAGAAAGATATTCTGGGACACCCTTGAAACAGGAGAAAAAGCACTTGATGTATTCTTTGAAATTAGAAGTTTGCGTAGTCAAGCTGCAAAAGATGTCAGTAAAAGGGACAAAAAGAAGAAAAAATCATCTAAAGGACCAAGCACAAGTGAGTAGCAAATTTATTCCTTCATGCTTGTAAAACACAATTTTGTTAAAAAATATACCCTCTCCGTGCAGAAAAAGCAAAACCAACCCCAGCAACTTCCTCTGCTGTACCTGAACTTCTTGCCCAAACTAATGTGCACCAGTTTCAATCTGCACAAGATGCTCAGGGTAACACGACAATTGGTAGACCGTTGTACTATCAGGTACACATATGTTACTGGGAGTTTTTGTTTCCTTCTGGCATATAAAACTGATCTTACACCAGCATGCTTCATGTTTTGCAGGCTTTTTCATCTGCCCCAATTCAACCAAACCAGATCTACATGCATCCGAACATGCACACAATGCCTCTTTGTGCACCACAGGTATTACGGTCAGCAGACTGACCTAAAAAACTTTGCTTATCTGTTATTTGAGCTGCTCATTGTTGATATTGCTACATGCCATTCTGGGATTAAAGCAAATAATTTTTTGTCAATGTTGTTAAGCGAAATAACTGGACTGTGAACTGTTCAAATATGTACCATGGCTTACGATGGTACTTCACCATCCTTGTGTTGACTGAAATAGTTCCAAGAAGAAAATTTTTCGAGGGGAGTTCCAAGAATAAAATGAATCTGACCCATCAAACATTCATCTATGGGTGTGCTTATTGCTATTCATTTACACATGACCAGCAGGATTTCTCGGCATATTCTGCAATGCGTCCCAATTCGAATTTTGGTGGTGCAAAGAATGTCTGAAGGACAGTAAGGTATATGATTCCTAGTTTTTTAATCCACGGAACCATATGAAACTACCTCCATTTACATATTGCTTTTGCTGCCACTGTTGTCAAGAGGATTTTACTCTGCATATCTAGGATCAGAAATGAATCTCCCTGGCATTTTCTCAACTATTTTGAGCATCTTTGCTATGAATATTTATGGGGTTCAAATTCAGCTCATTGGAGGAACCAACCTGTGCTGCACTTCAAGCCTTACATGCTATATCACTCATGATTTCCAGGAATCTGCTAAGACGTCTTTTGGAAAATGCTGCTTGGACATGGATGCAGCCAACCACCTGGATGGATTTTGTCAACCTTCCCGGAGGTGTGATGTTGCTTTTGGATGTTAATTTCTGGCTCGCAACTGTTGATGTGTGTAACTATTCTGGTCTTTGACGTTTCTGTTCTGTTGAAGTGGAGTTCTAGTAATGTCAATTAGGTGACTGTAGGCTTGTAAGTTATAATTGGAGTGTAGATGCTGGATGAATAGAGGCCAGGAACATGTTGCTTCCATTGTCTTAAGGAAAAGGTTGTAACTGGGAGTAGTCACTAGCTATTTACAGGATCAGATTCTTTGGGCTAAAAGATGATCAGCTGGCGCCCTTGTTGCCTCTTGGCCCATGGTGCTACTAGTTGTCAAGAGCAGATAGCATCCCTTCTCGAAGGAGTTGAGCTGCAGAACAATGTGAAAAGGAAGCTGAAATGGAAGCTCATGCAGATTCAGTGAAGTGCACCGTCTCTGCATGGGAGGCAGTAGTTCCAAACTGACCTTGTTATATGTTTTTTTTTGTGAAGATTTTGGATCTAATTTAGTGTACCTGTACAATCTGACTGCTGATTAAGATGACACAGCAGTATTGATCTGATATTGAAACTGTCTATGCTCTTCGATTGTTCATACTTTTACAATTTTCTTTAACGAATGTGTCTTGAATTGCCATTACAAGCAGAAACTGGGTAGCCCAGCAGCGCAGGGGCACTTGACCATAAAAATATGGCAAATTTGGTTCACTGCTTCATAACCAATTTTGTTGAACAAATTCTCTGAAGTCATGAACTTTCAATGCTTCGTAACCAGTTTTGTCAAATAAATATCTTATTTTAAATATTCAAGTTCTCTAAAGTCGTGAATTTCCACTCTTTCAGTGCTTTAACCAATTTTGTCAAATACATGTCTCTTATTTAAAATTTGCATACCAGTTTAGTCAAACGAATTTATCTTAGTTTAAGCTAGCATACCATTTTATTCCAAATAAATACTCCCTCCGTCCCATAATATAAGGGATTTTGAGTTTTTGTTTATATTATTTGATCACTCGTCTTATTTAAAAAATTTGTGCAAATATAGAAAACGAAAAGTTATGCTTAAAGTACTTTGGATAATAAAGTAAGTAAAATAAATAAATAATAATTCTAATTTTTTTTGAATAAGACGAGTAGTCAAACAATATAAGAAAAACTTAAAATCCCTTATATCATGGTACGGAGGGAGTGCATGTTATTTTAAATTTTCATTCTGAAAGTGCAGGCATGCAGTGCAGCACAGTCACACGCTGATAATACGTCATATCGCGAATTAGCAAAATAACAGTAATTTATGAGTAAAACTTTTCTTAGCGATTTAGAAGTTATGTTTATTAAAATTAATTTCAAAACATTTTTTTACAATCAATTTTAAATTTTAAGTTTTGGTAACGACTGATTTCGATTTCATATATAGGGCAAAAGATGGAGGCGGAGTGGCATATCCCGTCTTCTCCACCGAATCCAAAATCCGCCTCCCGTCTCCTCCCCTCCCTATCCATCACCACCCCTCGCCCAACTCCAAACCAAACACCTTGTGGGCGCGACCTCGCCGCGCTCGCCATGCCGCCTCCCCTCTCCTTCCTCCACCTCGCCGCCAACCCCACCCCCCTCCACGCCTCGCCGCTTCGCCGCGCCCGCCTCCGCCACCGCCTCTCCCTCCGCACGGACCACCCGTCCCGGCGCGCCGTGGCGTCGGCGTCGGCGTCGGCGGGCGAGAACCCGTCCACCCCGGGGGGTCCTATAGCCGACGTCGAGATGGTCCGTGGCAAGGACGGCGTGTGGACGGCGCGGCCGCCGACGGTGGTGGTGCTGTGGGACCTCGACAACAAGCCCCCGCGCGGGCCGCCGTTCCCGGCCGCCACCGCGCTCCGCGACGCGGCGTCCCTCCTCGGCCGCGTCGTGTCCGTCTCGGCCTTCGCCAACCGCCACGCCTTCTCCCACGTCCCCGCCTGGGTCGCCGACGAGCGCCGGGAGCGCCGCGCCATGGACCGCGCCGAGCGCGCCGGCGCCGCGTCCCCGCCCGTCCCTTACTCCTGCGCCGTGTGCGGCCGCCGCTTCCCCACCCGCCCCGACCTCACCCGCCACTTCCGCCAGCTCCACCAGCGCGAGCGCAACAAGAAGCTCTCGCGCCTCCGCTCCCTCAAGGGCAAGAAGCGGCAGAAGTTCCGCGAGCGCTTCATCTCCGGGAACACCAAGTACGACGACGCCGCGCGGGAGCTCCTCACCCCCAAGGTCGGGTACGGCCTCGCCGCCGAGCTCCGCCGCGCCGGCGTCCACGTCCGCACCGTCTCCGACAAGCCGCAGGCGGCCGATCACGCGCTCAAGCGCCAGGTGAAGCATTCCGTGGCCTGCGGCGTTGACTGGCTCGTGCTCGTCTCCGATGACTCCGATTTCACCGACACTGTGCGGAAAGCGCGCGCCGCCGACTTGAGAACGGTCGTGGTTGGCGATGGTTGCCGTGCTCTTGGAAGTGTGGCTGACATTTGGTTGCCATGGGACCGCGTCGAGAATGGGGAGGTTGATGAGGACATGCTGCGGAATGGGACACATATGGGATTCAGAGATGAAGAGGAAGATGAGCAAGATGATGATGAGTTCATAGTGGATTGGGATACGAGTGATTTGGATGGTGTTGTCGATGACATTGTCGCGACGAGGACCAAGTTGTTCGGTGCTACAACGATGTCTGCATTTGCTGATGAGGAAATTATGGATGGCATATTGGGTGTTGGGATAAATGGCGGTGACATGTTATGGAGTAGCGACGACGAGGATGAGGATGGTTATTTTTGAGATTCATGTAGATTGACAGGTAAACAATTGGAAATGCACATCTCTTTTGTTTTCTATGCATATATCATGATCATATAGCAAACTACTATACATTCAAAAACATGATGGTGAACATTAAGCGTGGTTTTCCTCAATTACAGTGTGCTTATGGTTTATTTGTTTGGCAATTTAGCTGAAGTTCCAGGCTACTTATCTAGTCCTTGCAAATGGTACTTGAGACAATTTATTGGCTGACAGATGAAAGTAATGCACAAGTGGTTGCTGTTAGATCTTTCCATTTCACTTAGGAGATAGAGTGGGGTTTTTTTCAGCTATCAAAGCGGTCAAGAGTTTCAAAGTCTCTTTCAATTGAGATGGACACATGACAAATTCTTCTGGTCAATCGTTGCAACATTTGTGAGGATTCTGGTCGATGGATGGTCTTGGATATGAATGCCCATACCAAATTCGACCAACCAACATATCTTCTCAAGAAATGGTAGCTTGGTGTAACACCATGGGAGTGGAGCATGAGATACACATGATTTGGAATTAATCCTGGATGAAAAGATGTAACTTCAATGAACAGACTTAACTTTGATCTAGTTTGCATTGCACCAAAAACCACTTTGCATAGGTTACGTGCTATATGCTCATGGTCTGCATAATTTCTTCAATGCATCAATATTTCCAAGAAGTTTCATAATTCATATATCGGTTGAGAAGCAGTAATGCATTGAGAAATGCACTGTAATTCTAAAAATCAGAGTTTTGTTGATAAAATTGTACTCTCACTTTTCTGCATGTTAGCAGTCTTCTTTATTCCCCTAGTTCACCCTACATGTTTGCAATATTAGCGCAACTTAAGCCTTCAATACACACTGACCAAAGTAGAACGAAATCGGAGAATACTTTAACATAAATGGACTAAACTAGCTCATGTTATGTGACACCTATCTTTCTCTGCTTAATAATAAAATCATGAGCTTGCATGAAAAAACCTTCACAATAACTAGACAATGACTTATAAAAATGGATTTATAGTGTGAAATGATTGTTCCCAAGATAACTGACTAGTATTGTGAACCTTACAAATCTATTAAAACCATGTGCAGGATTCATCATGCACATCTTATGATGATACTGTCTGTGTTTGTACAGTACAAAAATACCTGATCTGCATTATTCAATAAAGATCATTTATTCATCTTCCATTGGCTTTTCAGGACTTGTGTTGTACTGCTATCAGCAAACCAAAAGGCATCATCGCATCGACACAAACACAGCTGAAAAAGAACGGCCATCTTCTAACATGCAGGCTGCAAATTCTGAATAACATCATCCTGTTGGGCACTTGGGCTGTAGCTGAAGCTGGAGAAAGAAGCTCATGGTTTGAGAGTTGGAGAAGCTGGCTGCACATTTCACATGAGAATCGCGTCCATTTCAATCAGGCACACAAGGTTACCTTCCAGCTGATTTCGACGAAGAAACAACTGTATGAGCATGTTTGTCGCGGCGAGGAGGTGGCAGCCATCCGAGTACAAGAAAGTAATTCCTACCTCTCCTGCCGGAGAAGCTCAGCTAAAATTGATTAGAAACACGAGATGTCGGGATAGTTCCTGGATGGCATTGCTGAACATGGATGCACTGACATGCATATCTCGACTATTAGCTGATGTATTGAGTAGAGTAAAGTATTACACCGAAGGCAAATTATCGAGTGCATGCCACTTTTCTGCTGTATTCAGACTTTTTCGCTCTTCTGTCTCGCTTCTTTCAATTTTTGTGCATTGGCTGTGTTTGTGGAGGCTGTTAGCTATCAAGCTGGGGCACTGGGCCAACCGCCCAATTGCCAATTCTTCCAGCATCACATCACATCCAACTCACTGAGTGCATGCCAGGCTGCAGTTTTTCAGGCTGAAACCCATCTCAGGGCCCATGTTCGCACTACCAAAGTACTCCCTCCGTGGTTCCGTTTCACAATATTTATCATTTTAGGTTGTCTAGCACAATTTAAGATTTAAGAAAAGAAAATATATTGCCTTATTAAATAATATATGGTTGAGAATAAAACGGTGATTAGGTATAGAATGAAGAGAAATTTCAACAAGGTGATTGATAGAAAAAGTAGTTCTACCTCTGTCCCGTAATAAGTTTCATTTCAAGCTCATTTGGTCCTTCCATTTGTCCTAAGATAAGTTTATTTTTAGAGTAATCATTACGTCGGAATATGTGAAATTATAAAATAATTATATTGGGAGTAGATAAAGTGAGTAATAGTTATATTGAGATTTGATAAAGTAGAGATATTCTACTATTTTTTTAACTTTACGTTAGAGGGATATGGGTCGCTGACAGGTAGAGCCCACCCTCATGGGTCCACATGTCAGCGACCCATGTCCCTTTAGCTTAGGTTAGAGGAGCCTCATCCTCCGGAACCAACCTGAGTAATCTGGACAACTTTGGTGCATGCTCGAACCTATCTATCTATACACACCACTTTGGTTATTCTGCTTTGTAGTACAACAACTTGGAGCAACTCCAGCGTGATGTTAGGGCATGTTTAAATTACAAAATTTTACACCTTGTCACATCGAATATTTGAACATATGTATAGAATATTAAATATAAAAAATAACTAATTACACAGATTGCGTGTATATTGCGAGACGAATCTTTTAAGCTTAATTGTGCCATGATTTGACAATGTGGTGCTACAGTAAACATTTGCTAATAACAGATTAATTAGGCTTAATAAATTCGTCTCGCGGTTTACAGACGGATTCTATAATTTGTTTTGTTATTAGATTATGTTTAATACTTTAAATTTGTGGCCATATATTCAATATGACAAGCCAAAATTTTACACACTGAATCTAAACACAGTGAGAGTTGGTTCTTATTTGTCGGAATGAAAATCGACCTCTCGGCTAGAGTCTATCATTGCCGATTAAAAAAATATTTATCGCATGCAGCTGCTATTTCTTCCCTTGAGAGAGGCGCATGGTTGATTTTTAAATTTTATACGTGGGGTCTCGCAAATCGATTTTAAACGCTATATGCACCGAACAGAATTGTAATTCGCTTTCGTCGATGGTACAGTCCATCTCTAACACGCCTGTACCATCCATAAACAACCAAAAACGCTTGCCCATGTCACAGCGTTTTGTTCACAAGACCTCTACAAAAACAGGCGCTCCTTCTTCCCCCATGATCGTAAAAGTAAAACCAATTGACCCAGTGGGCGGCGCGCGCCGTCCACCGGCAGCCGCTCAACCAGAAACCGATAAACAAACGCAACCACGCCCGCACGCACGCTCGCAGACAAAGGCTGTGTTTAGTTGGGGAAAAGAAAATTTTTGGGTGTCACATCAGACGTTTGACCGGATGTCGGAAGGGGTTTTTGGACACGAATGAAAAAACTAATTTCAGAACTCGCCTGGAAACCGCGAGACGAATCTTTTGAGTCTACTTAAGCCGTCATTAGCACATGTGGGGTTACTGTAGCACTTATGGCTAATCATGGCCTAATTAGGCTCAAAAGATTCGTCTCGCGATTTATAGCTAAACTGTGCAATTGGTTTTTCTTTTTGTCCACATTTAATGCTCCATGCATGTGTCCAAAGATTCGATGTGACAGGTGAAGGGGAAAATTTTTGGGAACTAAACTAGCCCAAAACCGAGCCGTTTCGCGTGGGGGGCCCAAGTTGACGAGGACAAGGAACACCAAACCGAAACGCGACTCGCGCGAGAGGCGCGGATGGATAACCACGCCGTCGCGGTCCAGCAACGCGACACGGCGCCCCGGCCCCGCGCCCGCGCGCGCGCCTCCGTATCCAGTATCCAGGGGGGGGGGGGGCCTGGCTGGGCTGACCACGTCGCCCTCCCACGCCCGCCACGTTGCCACCCGCGCCGCCCTCCCACCCCATGTCGGCGACCGCTCGCGTTCGCGTCCTCCTCCATCCATCCGCATCGCGCCGTGCTGCCAAGCGGCGCGCCGCCTCACGTGTCGGCCGGGGCGCGCGACACGGGCGGCGCGGCGGGGCTCGCGCGGTTTGACGGGCGCGCGATCTCGCTGGGGATGGGAATAAGCTAGCGCGGCGCCGCCTACGTTGGTTAATTAGCTCGTGGGTCGTGGCGGCGGGTGCAGGTTAGCCAGGTATTGGGGTTGGTGGGTTGGGGCGTACTTGCGTCCTGCCTGCGACGCACGGGTTTGTCTGCTAATGTAGTTTAGCGCTTAGAGTTTGACTTTGTTCGTGAACGCTAGTATTGGGTTAGCGTTCCGTCACAAGATGAAAAAAAAATTAAGTACAGAAGTGATATTCATATTTATATTTACAGGTCTAAAATATGTTATATGTTATATTGGTTTTATTTATTTTAATTTTAATATGGTGTGTTGGTGTATTAAGTATGAAATAGATTTAGTACTGGGTTAGCGTTCCGTTCCAAAATAAAAGGAATTTAGTACATAAGGTTATATATTTCATATGTATATTTATAGTACTAAATTATGTTATATCTTATATAGGTTTTGTTTATTTTAATATGGTGTGCTTGGAGCAAGTGGTCGAACATTCTAAGCAATGCAATTGATGAAAGTACATTTTTAAGAAAACATATTTTAAAGATGTGAAATAAATAGTCCGTTGTAATATTCCGATGAAATACTAAGTTACATCAGATTTTAAATACAAATGTTATGAATTTAATTTTTCGAATAAGTACTATGTGTTCACGCATGTGAGAAGAGATACACACTATGAGCATACCATCTAACATCATTTCCCAATTAACCATATTAAAAAATAATACTCCATCCATCCCTAAATATAAGGATTTTGGTTAGACATGCTTCAGAATACGTCACATCCAACTAAAATCTCTATATTTAGAGACGGGAGTACTATCCTTTATGCAACGTTGCCGACCTTTGAAAAGACGAAGAGGACTGCGAGGTGTAGGACAAGTGGTTCGAAAGTCGAAACTAAGTTGGGCAGGATAAAGGAGCTGAAAGCCTGCAACCGAATGGTGAGTTGAAAGATGAAATTTGATGCTTGCCAATGGTTGCGGACTTTATTATGCAGTTCTTTTTTCCGCCAAAAAGGAAGTGGTTCTTACTCTTTTGCTTCTTGGTTGTGAGTTCAGATGTAGCGGTAGTAGTCCTGTATGGAAAACTAGAAATCCTTATCTATTTATTTAAGTTTTTCATTGCAAAGACTCAGTGTAATGTTGTTATGTTTTCTTCCAAAAGCTCATAAAACTCACTTGTGTGATATGTTTATCGGTATGGTAAAAAACCCTTCTTTTATTAGGAACGCCAAAATCTAATTAGATCCGTCTTAAATATATTTGTACCCCAGCATACGTCCTTATCGTCTATTATGGCTGATCCGTTTCTTATATTAGCGGATGAGTATCATATCCTCTTTGGAACAATGGTCTTATCTATGTGACCATACTAAACGTACAGATAATCAATGCATGACACGTGGGACGAGAAAGGAATAGCGCTCGTCTAACATAATAGGAGCACAAGTCTTGAATTAAACTTGGTGTTAGAAATGTTTAGCCTTTTAGAAACTTCTCAGTTCTCACTTTCTTAGTTCCAACAACTATATATAGGAATAAAATGTCTATTTATTATATATATTATTAAAAAGGACTAGAAGAAATCATTCATTTTCTCTTAACAAATTATCAGGTCAATATAATCAAAAGAACTACTCCCTTCGTCCTATAACATAGCAACTTAAAATTGGATATGACGTATATCCTAGTAATACGAATTTAGATCGACATGGTCTAGTTCTGATTCTTAGTACATATCTTGTCCAGATTTGTCCCATTTAATCATAGGTTGCTATTTTCTTGGATGGAGAGAGTAGAAAAGTTTAAGACATTTTATATAGAGAGTTTATAATACTGACAACTGACAAATTTGATCTCATGTTTCAAACACACAAACGGATAAATCTCCTCTGCACTACTACCTTTTAACTTTGAGTGGCTAACATGTACTCCCTCGGTCCAAAAAAATCAACCTAGTATTATATGGGAATCATGAGATGTCACCTAGTATAATTAATCTGGACATGAACATACTCAGTTTCGTTGAACTATGTTGTCTCATACGATACTAACTTGGGTTTTTATAAGGCGGAGGAAATAGACTTGTTGGATGTAAGACCCATATACTGAAAACTAGTACTATCAATTACTCAAAACTATCCAACCCATATATCAGTTACTTAAAATCGAATGATATTACTATTTCCGTCTTTAAATATAATTTAAATATAAGTATTTAGAATTGGATGAGATGTTTTCAAGTACAATATTTTTTATTGTTTTTTAATAGACTCCCTATTTAAATATATTGTCCTAGAAAGTATTTCATCTAATTTTAAATTATTATATTTTGAGGGAAAGAGAGTAGTGCAGAGAATCTGTTTTGCATACAACCTCGTCCACATGATTTCTCCAATCAAAATGGGAGCCGACCATCATCCTCACTGACTCACTCCCGTCTGTCACACCAAGACCTAACCAAGAAAACCCAACCATCATTTGAACCCAACCCAACCCCAGCGATGACCTCTCCATCCATTCCTTCCCGTCGCCATCAAAAACCGCACCGACTTCGCGCCCCCCGCCCCGCTAAAAATCCAGCGCCTAATCACCCCCTCCCACCAACTCATCGCTAAGAGCAAGATTTAGAATAGCAAACTATTAACAACGAATCATCTATAATTAATTTATTAGTCAATTTATATAATAGTTACCTATAAATATTTATTCCCTCCGTAAAAAAAAAAGACAAACCCTGGTTTCCGTGCCCAACGTTTGACCGTCCGTCTTATTTAAAAAAATTACGAAAAAAATTAAAAAGACAAGTCACACATAAAATATTAATCATGTTTTATCATCTAACAACAATAAAAATACGAATTATAAAAAAATTTCATATAAGACAGACAGTCAAAGTTGGACACGAAAACTCAGGGTTTGCCTTTTTTTGGACGGAGGGAGTACTACGTAATTGATGTGATCTCACCTATCATTAACACATGTATCTTGAAGTTCGTTACAGTTCGTGTTGTAACGGGTTATAAATCTGTAACCTGTTGTTCTTATCCTTTCTCTTTTATTCTTTTAAAATATGTTTGTAAGGTTTATAGTCTGCTATTTACCTGCTCTAATCCCCCATCTACCCACTGCGCCACGCACGCACTTAATCCCCTCTATTTATAGACCCCACCACTCATTTCCCCAGGAGAAAAAGCCGAAGCCAAGACACGCAGGTGTCGCCTCGCCTCGCCTCGCCCTCGCGCCGCTGCGGAATTCCGCGAGGATGGATAGGAGGGAGGCCACCGTCTTCTTGCCCCCGCCGCCGCCACCGCAGCCGACGCAGCCGCAGCAGCAGCCTGCGGCGGCGGCGGTGAGGGCTCCGGTAGGCGGGAGGGGTGGGGGAGGAGGGAGGCAGTATCGCGGGGTGCGGATGCGGAAGTGGGGGAAGTGGGTGGCGGAGATCCGCGAGCCGAACAAGCGGTCGCGGATCTGGCTCGGCTCCTACTCCACCGCCGTCGCCGCCGCGCGGGCCTACGACACCGCCGTGTTCTACCTCCGCGGCCGCTCCGCGCGCCTCAACTTCCCCGACCAGCTCGACGGCGCGGGTGGTGGTGGCGCGGGCGCCGGCGGCGCCGAGGACCACAGGGAGCTCACCGCCGCCGTCATCCGCAAGAAGGCCGCCGAGGTCGGCGCCCGCGTCGACGCGCAGCACTCCGTCGTCGGCGCCGCGGCGCCCGTGCCGCTCCAGCCGCCGCAGCCCCCGCCGCCCCAGCGCCGCCGGACCAAGAACCCCGACCTCAACCGGGAGCCCACCCCGGACACCTCCGACGACGAGTAGTAATCCGTGCTAATTTTGCCTCCCTTCTTCCATCCATCTAGTTCGTAGTCCTTAGCCACCCCAAGACACAGAGAGAGAGAGAGAGTAGCAGCTAGTAGCTATAGCTAGTCAGCGAAGCAGATAGCGCCAAGGAGGCGGTCGTGGACGGGGCGCATGCAAGGTGTTCGGCGAAATGCGATTGAGGTCGGAGGAGCCCACAAGTATATCCAATAATGGAGCCGCGACGTCGCCGTCAAGCCGGGGAAGTGGTGGTTAGCAAGTAGGAATCTAGAGCTCAGCTCGTCGTCTGTTCCGGCGACGGCGACTGTACTAGGAGCGTGCGTGTCAGCGTGAGCATGTAGCTAAAAGCAAGACGGCTATGTACCTCACCCTTTTCGCTTAAGCGTTTGTTTGTAAAGAGAAGATACCCAGCAAGCAAGACAAAAAAAACAGCTTCAAGAATCTCTCGAATCATCTCAAGTTCTCACTTCCGTGCCATGGTTTGGATCAATTTGGTCACTTGATATTACTACTTCAAACTCCAATTTCATGCAAGTTAAACTAAATTAATTAGCGTCTTGAGAGGATGAGGCCGACGACGATGGAGGCCGCGGCGACGCTGCCGTGTGGAGGCGTACAGCTTCTTCCACCTCCGGTGAGCGTGACGGCAGCAGGAGTGATGATGAGTTGATGATGGTGGATGGAGTCGGGTACTACACTTGCTGCGTGCGTGCGTGCGAGTGCAACACGCGAAGCTGGCGGTGACGGCGTTTTTTTTTTCTTTTTTTTTGGGCGTGGAGATGGGGGGTGTTGTGGCGTGGGCCATTAACAGGATGGATGGATGGGGTGGTGGTGCTTATCTGGTGCTTAATGATGTTGGTGTCGGTAATTGATTACGCCGCTAATTACGAGCCGCCCTGGAAGATTCGTGGTTGCTTTTTCAGGGGAAGACGCCCGCCCTCTGGTCCACCCACCACACGTCGGTCGATTGCACCGCACTTGCACTGACTCTGCTGCAGTTCTCTCTCTCTCTCTCCCCCTTTTTTTCTTTTTCTTTTTTCTTTTTTTGCCCTTGGTCGTGCTCGTGCACGAAACTGTACACGTGAACGCATCGGTGGGTATATACTCCAGGTTCCATTCCAAAATATATAAGCGCAAATTCGTATCGAAATATAAGCTTTTAAGCTCTATTAGGATACTCTCCATCTTATCGATCATCTCCTATTTGATTTTTTTTTCCTATTTTTACCCCCAACAATTTCTTATTAATATTGGACACTAAATTATTTTTTCTTAAACTTAATATCTATTAAATAATTAGAAAATAATTATATTTTGAGACAAGATAGTATCTAAAATCTAACCACTACCTTTTTTCTCTTAAGAGACATAACTAAGCACGCACATCACAATTCACACTCAAGGTGTGTTCTTTGCCTCTATCTTTTTCAACTTCTATTTTTCATGCTTTTTGAGCGCACGCTTACAAAGCTGCTAAACACTGTGTATTTTAAAAAAGTTCTATAGAAAAAATGCTTTGAAAGGATCATAAACTATTTTAAATATTTTTAAACTAATAATTAATTAATTAAACACTAACGCATGCTCTGTTTCTTTGTGCGGGAGATGATTAACCCTCCTGTGAACGTGACTAATCTCTAACCATTCTAAGCACGACACAGATAAATACTCCATGTAGTATCAAATAAGCAAGATTTCTATGTGTGTGTAAGTGTGTTTCAATCATGGATACAAATGATTTGAGTCCAACTGACTGTAGAATAGCTTTGCCCGTCTCGGTTCTTCAACTTTTCTTCAAAATCCGGCCATGTCTTCTATTTCCAAAGGGGTAGCATCGCTGCAGTTGTACTACTGACCTGCAGACTACGACATTCAGGCTGTGTTTGGATCCAAACTTCAGTTTTTTTTTCATCACATCAACCTGTCATACACACACAACTTTTCAGTCACATCATCTCTAATTTTAACCAAAATCCAAACTTTGGATCCAACTAAACACAGCCTCATTTGAGCGACAGCAAAGCGAAGGAAAGAAAACATCCTAATCAAGTATGGACAGTAACGACCTCAACTCATGCATACTCCGTAGTCCGTATCCTCTTTTGAAAGAACACGACGACTTAATTAGGGTGTGTTTGAGGAGAAGGGGATTGGGGAGATTGGGAAGATACGCAAAACGAGGTGGACCATTAGCATATGATTAATTGAGTATTAACTATTTTAAATTGCAAAAATGGATTAATATGATTTTTTAAAGCAACTTTCCTATAGAAATTTTTTGCAAAAAACGCACCGTTTAGTAGTTTGGGAAGCGTGCGCGCGAAAAACGAGGAGCTTTCTCACCCAATGTCACTGGAACGATCACAGCCTTAGTAGCAGTGCAAGCAACACCTTCACACAGACACACACACAGGATTTCAGAAACTGAAGAGTCCATCGGGGTCAACATCATCCCAAACATCACAAACTGAAAAATACTAAGGGCCAGTTTAGTTCTCAAAAATTTTCCCCTTCACCTATCACATCGAATCTTTGGACATATGCATGGAGCATTAAATGTGGACAAAAAGAAAAACCAATTGCACAGTTTAGCTATAAATCGCGAGACGAATCTTTTGAGACTAATTAGGCCATGATTAGCCATAAGTGCTACAGTAACCCACATGTGCTAATGACGGCTTAAGTAGGCTCAAAAGATTCGTCTCGCGGTTTCCAGGCGAGTTCTGAAATTAGTTTTTTCATTCGTGTCCGAAAACCCCTTCCGACATCCGGTCAAACGTCTGATGTGACACCCAAAAATTTCCTTTTCCCCAACTAAACACAGCCTAAAATGTGAACAGTTTTGGAACCAAGTGGAGTGAGCACCGCCACTGGAACTCTTCCCCGGTTCAGAAAGTGACTCGCCGGCCGGCGCAGTTGTTTAAATTAATTTGACTGTTTCAGGGCTGTGTAAAATTGTATTTTGAGTTATAAACTTGATTTTTGTGAGCTATCAGAAGGAAATGGACAATCTAGTCTGACGAGATTTTCGAAAACAACTCATGTATATGTTTATGTTGCTTGGAAAATCCATGGATTCTAGTTGTTGCAGTTTTGCACTGAGACAGTATAATTTATTCTCTTCATTTCAGAGTTTGTTTACTTGGATAGTTTGATCACGTCATCATGTGGTATTGTAACCTTGTCGGTAACAGATTACTCACTGGAGACATGATCCATTCCGGGACTGATTAGTGGTGGGTCTCACAAGCACTTAGCGAGCAATGGGTCAATCTCCTTTACTGGATTTGGATTTGGAAATTAGTAGTTTAGTTTATCCATTTCTGATAATCACACATTCACACATGCTTAAACCGGTGACGGAAAAACAAACGAAAAATCATATCAAATCTCTTGGTAAGTAAATCTCACTTTCATGTAGAAATGGAGTTCTTTTTTTAATGTGTTCTAGATAGGGTCTCAAATTGCCCTGTGTATTGATGAACTACCCTCTCAGGTCTTTTTTGGACGGAGAATTTTAGAAGATATACAAACTGATTTCTGTTGAAATATTATAAAGAGATATACAACATATGGAAATTGTTTCATATGTACTCCCTCCGTCCCAAAAAAAGACAAACCCTGGTTTCCGTGCCCAATGTTTGACCGTTCGTCTTATTTGAAAAAATTATGAAAAAAATTAAAAAAGACAAGTCACGCACAAATTATTAATTATGTTTTATCATCTAACAACAATAAAAATACGAATTATAAAAAAAATCCATATAAGACGGACAGTCAAAGTTGGACACGCAAGCCCAGGGTTTGTCTTTTTTTTGGGACGGATGGAGTACTCCTTAATAAATCCTTGGAAAGGAGTGGCGGCCATAGGAGAACAGTTGGTTCTGAATTTCTGAGTTCTGATAAGAAGGCAGCAAAATTGCTGGCATTCTTCTCCATGCTTCTCTGAAACACGTTGAACTGGAACATTTTCTGATTGGAGTAGGTTGTAAAACCACAGCTGTAAAAGCAGAGGAAACAACAGAGAGATTGGCTTCTCTCTTCGATTTCACCTCCCGATCGGCGACGGACGGCCCAGATCGCGCGCCGCCGAAGCGGCGGCGTGAGAGATCAGAAATGGCCTCAGCTGTCCAATCTAGACGTCGCATACATGTGTCGCATACAAGTGCGTGGCTGCTCTCGGACTCACGTAGGAGTACTCTCTCGTAAAAAAAAAATCATTCTAAGGAGAACGTGATTTTTTTTATATAGTGAATTTAGATAAAAGTTTGTTCAAATTTATTGCACTAAAAAAGATCGCATCCTTACCTAGATTAAGTTTTTTAATGGAGAAAGTACATACTCACGTACTCTAGAGTACATGCCGATATAACGATACATCCTCTCGTTTTTTTTCCTCCCATACATTATACATGCCAGTACAATTTAGACGCTAGCTAGTACGCCTAGTCCTAGTTCACAAGTACTTCATCCCAAAAATAACGAAGGCCGAATGTGACATATTTTATACATATGTCTAGATTCATAATATTAAGATGTGTCACATCTAATACTTTGTTGGTTTTTTATGGGATGCAGTGAGTAGTATTCGACAAAAGTGACATGTGTTTAGTTGTTCTCAAGCACTTTGCCACAGTTTACCTATAGTATAAGGTTAAATAAGTTTAATCAACTTTTGGTAGTTGTTTGATTTGAGTCACAGTTATGATAAAAATTTCATTCAATATATTGGATACCACACGTTAATGATTAAAAAAATGTGATAAGATTCACTTTGGTAGGCCATAACACCCATATCTGAACTCCCCGTACAGGATATGCTCAGTATTCAGTACCATCCTGTGCATATGTGGCGGTGTATTATACAGATGCATGCACGTGCTGATCACAGCGAGGTGACTCTACGGTGTACACTATACTAACACTACTGTGCGCTGGCCACAGATGTAGTTTGACACGAAATGCAAGGTGATTGATGACAACAGCTACGAGATTTCATTCGTCATGCTTATGAAATTGCTGAAACACTACACATTTATGATGAGAGAAACGTGAACAAAATAATCCCGTTCACGTACAATTTTATTCGAAGTAGTAAAGACTAGTACTAGTAGCTTAATTTGCAGTCAGTTACACCAGTATCTTGAGCCGTTTCACCGACTTGGCAAAGGCCCTGCAAATGAAAATTCAGACTCGCCGTTAGGCTCGTAGTCAAGTTTGATGAAATTGTTAAATAATTTTGTGATGGCGACACAATGCCGGGAAGAAATGAACTTACTCCCATGGCACGTCTCCGACCTGCATCCAGTCTCCTTCCCCATCCTCGTAGGTGACAGCGTATGGGTGACGTCGACGACGATCGTGCCCATCCTCTGCACCACCATCAAATTGCAACCTTTTAATATTTTAAGTTCGCTTCAACTTGAATTTTGAAATGTTCGGAGTATGCGCCAAATGGGCTCCAGGGAATTTTGTGTTTATTTAAGCGGTTTCAAATAGTGTGTAGTTTTCTTTTTCTTTTTTGTTTGGCAGGGTGTTTGTGCAAAGTGATAGGGACATGCATGTAACTACCGGTACCATCCGATGAGTCTCCGCCACAAGTTAAAAATGGCTAGCGGCGACCATAAAAAATATTTATATTTTAAGACGGATGGAGTATTAAATATTTTCTGACGTAGGTCGTATCAGTGAACTGTTAGTAGTTAGTACTCCAGTTATAAATTTCAGCAGTTAGTAGTTATGAATTTCATCAATCGACCACTTGAGAGCAATATTGCAGATGATCTATTCCCTAGTACTACTAGTATAACTAGCTGGGCGGCCCGCGCAATTGCGCGGCTAGCACTCATATAAAATTATCTACTTTTTAATATGATTTTACTTAAAATTTATTAAATAGTTATATCAGTATTTTAAGATTTTGAAAGATCAAACCTTATAATCCCCGTGTTTCTAGTTTTATACTCCCTCTATTCCAAAATATAACAATTTTTAGCCCTTACGATTTTTCTTAAAATATAACAACTTCTCCATCAACATTATCTTCCCAACCAATCACAACCCTCCACCATTAACTTTTTCCACCTACCTCCACTACTCATCCAATCACAACCATTCGCCATTTATTTCTACCTACTTTCCTAATAACCGCGTCCAACTCTAAAACTTCTTATATTCTGGGACGGAGGGAGTAGCTTTTAAAAGTTATATGCGAGATGCTACCTCTTACTTCTTTGTCACCTCTCCTTTATTTGCTGGCTCGATCTATCACTGTTTCTATTCATTCTCCTTGGAACTTTTAAAATTGGATCTTATAGATTTTAAAGTTTATTGTCTCGTTGGGTTTTATTTTTATAATTTTTAGAAGTCCCGCCAAACATTGTCACTATACTCATCTATGGCATGTACGTTGCTTTCTCTCTTTATTGTTATTGTTATTTAAAATTTGAAAATAATTATCGTTTGGGTTCATTATTTTATTTTTTTAGAAGACCCGCTGTACTCCTCTACGGCTACCCGCTGCCTCCCCTCTTTATCGTCATTGAGATTTTAAAATCGAACATTATTATCATTGGCGTTTATTTTTCTCTTTGAAGTCCCGCCATACTTCGTGACCGTGCTGCTTAAGGACATATCCGCCGTCCCAATTTTAATCATTGTTGGGGTTCTATTTGAGGTTTGTTAATAGTTTTTAGATGTCCCGTCAACCGTCACGACTCTACTCCTTGATAGACCTGTTGTTTCTCCCCTCTTTATTGTCATTTATCATCGTTGTGTTTTATATATTTTTTTTCAAAAATTCCACATCTTTCATTCCGATATTTTATTTATTTATAAATTATATTTCTACTTAACTCTTATAATATTTTTTCTATTTTTGGAATTTATTTTATTTGTTATACCGAATTTCAGTCAATCTTGTCAAGTGTTGATGGTCTCTTCTTTCAATAATCATGTTATTACGAATTTTAGTTATTCACAAATTGTATTCCTAGTTGAACTCTTTTTTTTTTCTAATTTCAGTATTAATCTTTTACTTGTTTGAATTTTAATTTAATCTCATATTGTGTTCTATATGGTCTATTATTTTAATATTCCTTATTTTTTATTTTCACTTTCAGTTGTTTTAAAATTGTATCCCTACTTAAACTCTCTTTTTAATTTTCAAATTTTCAGACTTTATTTTATGTTTATTTCAAATTTTAATTAATCCCGTATTGGGTTCTTATATGGACTTATTTCAATATTTTTTATTTTTAATTTCGAATTTTATTTATTTTTAAATTATATTCCTGAACTCTTCTTTTTTTTTTAATTTTGGATTTTATTTTATTTTTATCCGAATTTTACTCGTATTGGGTTCTTATATGGACTATTCTTTCAACATTGCTTATTTTTAATTTCGAATTTATGTTATTTTTAAATTGTATTCCTACTTGAACTCTTCTTTTCTTTATTTTTTCTAATTTTGGATTTTATTTTATTTTTATTCCTAATTTTAATAAATCTTGTATTGGGTTCTTATATGGACTCTTCTTTCATTCAACATTGCTTATTTTTAGTTCCAAGTTTAAGTTATTTTTAAATTTTATTCCTGCTAATTTATATGGATACTACCGGACGCTGGCTGATTTTTTTTTCTTTTTGGCCTGAAAATAGTCATCGTCCGGCAAAAACATACATTAATAAAGCTCTTTTTTTTAGCTGGCATATGTCCAGGGGTATTAATTTGTTTCGGTTTGACAATCAGAGTCGGAAACAATGAGCAAATACTAATTAGATAATCAGATAGATGATTCGATCGGATTATTTCTACACTCTATTTTAGAATATATCTTTCTATATCTGTCAAGAAAGATCTCAAGCGTTATAGTTTGGACCCACTATAATCTAACGGCGTGTATTTTTTTTCTTTTCTCTGATTAATGTGGGAATTTCTAGCCTCCACAGTGAACGTGGTGCCTCCTTTCAAGGCTGTCTTAATAATATAATAATATAATAGATACTAGTACTACCTTGGTTAGTGGAGGGGAACATAAGGTGGAGCGTGTCGAGCAGCTCAGCGTATGAGCCGAGGATGGACAAGTCCAGCTTCCTCCCGATGGCCAACCCCTCCATCTTCACCTTCACATATCCGCCACCGCAGCCACCGTCGCGCCGCCGGTGCAAGCACTTCACCGGTGGCCACCCCACCAGCTTCCTCCTCCTACATGCAACTCACCTCAGCTGCGTACGTACACAAATGCCACAACCCAGTGACACGAACAACGACGAAAAATGGACGAGAGGTGCGATTGCGTGCATGCGATCACTCACTTGTTGCCCATTTCGCCGTCGGAATCGCCGTCACCGCCGCGGCCATTGCCGTCGTCGTTGTCGTCGTCGGTTTTGAACCCACCGAGCGCCTCCTCGAAGCCCCTCTTGCGGCAGGACCCCGGCGCGCTGTTGAGAAGGTCAAGCTCACTCCCAGCCGCCGTCGCCGTCGCCGGCGACGGCGACGGCGACGGCAGCGCGAGCCTGAGGCCGAGCTCGAGCTCCATCCGTCTCTCCAATTCACCAGCTAGTGGACGGGATCACTGCAGCATCATCTTCTGCAATCCACGATCGAGAGCAATGCAAGACGATATATATATATATATACAGGTGTGGGGCGCTGACACGCACGAGGTGTAGTAGTAGTGGGGCGCGCGCGAGAGACAGAGGAGGAACATGGTGTCGGGGTAGCGGGGGACCCAGCCGCGGGCGGGATGTCCCCCCTGCCGCCGCGCGCCGCGGCAACGGGGGCGCCCCGCTTTTGCCTTGCGCCCCTTGCTCCCCGGCCCCCCGCGCGCGCCTACGTTTCGCGTCGTAGTGGCCGCGCAGCGCACGTACGCGAGCGAGCGAGCGCGCGCGCATGGGCGCACGGCTCTCGTCCGGTACGCATCGACGCCGACGCGTGAGATCCGTAGAGATTTTGGGGGGTGGAATTCGTGGTGGCGACTGGCGAGTGGACCGGACGGTTGCTTTCGCGTGTCGTGTCGTGTGGGCGAGCTCAGTGTTTCGGGTTTAGGCTGTGCTTAGTTGGGGAAAAGAAAATTTTTGGGTGTCACATCAGACGTTTGACCGGATGTCGGAAGGGGTTTTTGGACACGAATGAAAAAACTAATTTCAGAACTCGCCTGGAAACCGCGAGACGAATCTTTTGAGTCTACTTAAGCCGTCATTAGCACATGTGGGTTACTGTAGCACTTATGGCTAATCATGGCCTAATTAGGCTCAAAAGATTCGTCTCGCGATTTATAGCTAAACTGTGCAATTGGTTTTTCTTTTTGTCCACATTTAATGCTCCATGCATGTGTCCAAAGATTCGATGTGATAGGTGAAGGGGAAAATTTTTGGGAACTAAACTAGCCCTTAGTTTGATCAGCGTTTCGGTTTTAGTTGATCGGCTTTGTGCACGCGCGCGGGCCCGGGTGAGTCCTAAAGCTGGCGACTACATCCGATTGATCAAATGATGGTGTTCCCCGGCTGCGCTGTCACGTAGGCCATGTTTAGGAAGTTTGTATAGTGAGCAGCTACTCCATCTTTTTCAATATCTTCAGCTGTACTAAATGATCCAGATTCTAAAAATCTATAAATATAAAAATTCATAGAATGAACTACTATAAAGCATAAGCTATGAAACCTCCTTCTTTTTAATCCCAATTAACTGAATAGTTATTGATTGTTTTTAAGAATCTTCAGCTTGTCAGACAAAACGATGGTACTACTACTTCTCTTTTCGTATCAAAATATAAAAACTAGATAGACACGTCGTAAAATATATACCACTATATCTAAATTCATAGTAAAATATATCTCATTTGAATGTAGGTTTTTATATTTTCGGACGAACGTACTATGATTGAGGGGTGATCGAGTTGACAGTACAGACCATCGGTTATGGTGGTGGGAATTGGGAAATATGAGCGCCGGCAGCTGCATCTGGGCGTGGGCGACTGGGCGTTTTCTTTCTCGTGAGCCGTCGCCGAGGCGAATCTGAGCTGCATCATGCCACCGGGTCAAGGACATCGCGCCCCGCTCGGTGTTTCGCCGTGTTTCGCCGGGGCGCTGCAGGTCATTTGCCCACGCTGCAAGCAATCGGTCCGGATGCCGGATGGGCGCCATCCTTCCCCATGCCTCTCCATCCATGCCGGCTCTGTTCTAGCACACCGGGCCAGAAAACACTGCCATTTTTCTAATCTTAAAAACTGGATTTGAGTGCGAATCACTGTCTGCTCAAAACGTCATCACATCGATTAAAAAATTTGATCGGATCGTGACAATGTATATCTACATACTCCAATCGAGTACTACTACGCTGTTAGCTTCCGAGAAGGACACATTGTGGCAGATACTTTGAAACCACGATTGGAATGTAACTTAAAATATGCATAGTTGCATAGTACGCTTGATCTGCAGAGGTATAATCTGTGGAAGTGTGTTTGGGCACGATTTCGACACGTAACTAAGCTGGTGTCGGTTTATGATTCTTTAGAGAGGCGTTTGCCGTTTGCGACCGGTGGAACGTTTTTGTCAAAAAGTTTGGGCGTTACACTTCCACCAGCAAAGCTACTACTACTACAAAGGTGAAATGTTTCCGGTGTTCTCACCATGTATATAAGGGCTGTGTTTAGTTCATATTAAAATTAGAAGTTTGATTGAAATTGGAACGATGTGACGAAAAATTAAAAGTTTGTGTGTAAAAAAGTTTTGATGTTATGAAAAATTTGGAAGTTTGAAGAATTATCTTGGACTAAACACGGCGAAGCTCTAACTTTTTTTTTTCTCTTTTAGGTGCCAGTTTCCGTGCACTTGCCCGGCCTAGCAGGTGACAGACACGACGCAAAAGAAAAATTAAAAAAAAGTTTTGCTAGCTCCTGATCGACACTTATCAGACACGGCGGTCGTGATTTCGGCACCAGATTACGTGCCTTAACTAACAAGGACATTCATCCATGATCCATCCATCGCCGTCAATTTAGCATCAAATATTGCGCATTTCGCATGGACACTTTCTTGAGCCATAACAACTTCCGTCACAAGCCTAACCAGCTAGACTAGATGATAATTATAAGCTTGTTGCATAGATGATCAGATGCAATGTAACCTAACTAATCTGTAGAGCATCAGGCAGACCAAAACAATAGACAATTCGAAGCTGATTTAACATTATCTCTGGATACTTTTAACCTCATCGGTGAAGTCTGAACTGAACACCACGCGGCCTCTCGCGGGCTGAAAAAGCACGGGGCCGCCGCGCACCGCGCGGTGCATTGGATCGCTTACGGCGAATTTTGCAGCAAAAAACAGGGGGAAACGTGTGCGTGAGCTTGACAAGTGTCGAGCCGGCCGTGCTCCGTCCCGATTGTTTTATACTCCCTCCGTCTTTTTAGTACGTGTTTGACCATTCATCTTATTAAAAAATTAAATAATTATTTATTCTTTTCATATCATTTGATTCATTGTTAAATATACTTTCTTGTACACATATAGTTTTACATATTTCACAATATTTTTTAATAAGACGAACGGTCAAACATGTGCTAAAAAGTCAATGATGTCAAACATTTTGAAACGGAGGAAGTAGCTGGCCTAGCTTGATCGAGTAGAGCTGCGGCGCACGAGAGATTCGTCCCGCGCGCCGCGCGCGTGCGTGCACGTGTTGTGTAGCAGCTCGATCCAGGGCTCCATGCTCTTAATTTGTCCCTGCATCAAAATGAATTTTACTAGTTTTTTTTAGTAAAGCTGCTTCATGAACCAATCCGGTTCCATAGGAGCAGGGAACTTTTTTTTTTTTTGATAGCTTTCGAATTTTCTACGATACAATGACACGTCAAGATTTATACTACTACTACACTAGTTACGTATAATTACGTTTTAGTTAAAAAAAAATTTAACTACGTTATTGTTGGCCTGTGCTTTACAATGAGATATAAAACGTTGTATATATTTTTTACACTTATATTTATATACAAGTTATATTATAGTTATGGTGAAACTATATTATATACTCCCCCGTCCCATAATATAAGGGATTTTGAGTTTTTGCTTGCAACGTTTGACCACTCGTCTTATTCAAAATTTTTTGAAATTATTTTTTATTTTATTTGTAACTTACTTTATTATCTACAGTACTTTAAGCAAAACTTTTCGTTTTCTATATTTGCAAAAAAAAATTGAATAAGACGAGTGGTCAAACGTTGCCAGCAAAAACTGAAAATCCCTTATATTGTGGGACGGAGGGAGTAATTATATTTGAAAGTTTTCTACGGCAACTGTTAAGATAGTCCCAACTTTTTTTTTTATCAAATCAGTTACTCCCTCCGTTTCTAAATATTTAACGTTGTTGACTTTTTTAAATATGCTTGACCGTTGGTCTTATTCAAAAAATTTAAGTAATTATTAATTATTTTCATATCATTTGATTTATTGTTAAATATATTTATATGTATACATATAGTTTTACATATTTTACAAAAGCTTTTAAATAAGACGAACAGTCAAACATATGCTAAAAAGTTAACGGTGTCAAATACTTAGGAACGGAGGGAGTACTGCGTACTCCCCGTATCAAATACTAGTATGATTTGTGACTTCGTGAGGGATCAAGGTGGCGCATGCACGCATGGGCTTGTGGAAGAACCGAAGAAGAGACATGAGAGATGGGGGCAAAGGAGGTGAGAGTACCGGCATGTCCCCCAGACAGTGCGGATCTTACGGCCGGGAACTGCTAGTTTGCTGTCGCGTAGGCCTCCCAACTTAGTCGGTGAAATTGACACTAGATTACGTCAAAGATCACTGCCGGAGTGCGCCCCTGTAGGCTCAAATGTGGCGTCGCGCATCCGCGGCTACAATCTTTCCGACGAGACGGCCGGTCTGCTAGTGCTACTCGTTTGACTCTCTTGTGCCTACAGCTGAGCTGATAGCTGAATGTTGTGGGTAGGTGCCAGCAACAATGACCAGATTCCAGGAACGAACAGACGTGATGAGGACCAGGAGCTGCCGTCATGTACGGCTTCACATGGAAACGTGAGTTGCTGGCTGGGTCATGTGGCAGCGGAGATCAGCACGAGGCCAACGAACGCATTTCACAGCTGACACGGCGCCCACACACCGGCACGATGGTTGCCGAGGCCCGAGGGGAAAACGGGAGCCGATCCACCGCGCGAGCCGCGGCGGCAGCCGGCGGGTGGTGCGTGCGCGTGATCGTGCGCGACGCGAGCTCGGGGAGGAGACGGCCGCGGCAGAAAACGGCGGACGCGCGCATCTGTGAACCGCATGTGATCGTGCGGGTCACACGCGGTCGGGTAGTTGCGATGTTGCGCGCACCAAATTACCCCTTTTCCGTATTCTGGATGCTGTACACGATGAAGCCAATGTACTGTAGAAAATTTCTGGGCGAAGCCCACGAAAAAATGTGGCTGAAAAATAGAGCGAATGGAGATGCGGGGTATCGATCCCCGTACCTCTCGCATGCTAAGCGAGCGCTCTACCATCTGAGCTACATCCCCGAGTTGGTTCAATTTATTTTTTTCTGTGTTAAAATTGTGATATTAACTAAAGGCTACTTCTGTCACTGTCAGGACGCAAGGTTGGATCTTTCTGGGCTGAAAACTACGGATTTTAACACTCCAGCTCGTTCCACTTTGACCCACTTGCACCCTCTTCCTCTGTCAAATTCCGAAAGATGACAGTATCTCAGACTCTCATCAGTGTTC